TTGTCTGCACATTAAAGTTATCTGGGGAACTTTTAAAAATCTTGAGTCCTAGGCCATGCTTTGGACTGATTAAATCAAGGTCTGAATGGGGTGGAGTGGGCAGGCATGAGTCTTTTTAAGCCCCTCTCATAATTAAATATACAACCAAGGCTAAACCACTGTACTAGAAGTAGATTCTCTTCTATGTCACTATCTCCTAGGATCAGTTTGATCTCTTTTCTTTCACCTTTTTAGAGTACCAGCTGGAACCCAAGCATTACCCAAATGAAGGCCACCTAAGGCATAATTACTAGGGAGGTCCTCAGAAATTATTACAAGAGGTAGTTAAGAGGAGTTCAAGTTCCTGCATCAAGCTACATGGAGATGGGAAGATAATTCTGACAATAGACATTGCCATTCTGACTTTTCTTGGGTTCAGCCTCAATAGGCTATGCTTGAGCCTCCAGGAAACCCCAATAACGGGATGGCTAAAAATGCTTAAGTCTCCATGGGGCACTGAAAAGACAAGAACTCAGTAGTATGGTTTTGATTGGTGATAGTGGTGATTAGCATTAATAATAATAACAAAGAGTTAATTATATCTGGACAGGACATAAAAGGAAAAAAAAGAGGGTGCCTGGGTGGCTCAGTTGGTTAAGTGACTGCCTTCGGCTCAGGTCATGATCCTGGAGTCCCGGGATCGAGTCCGCCTTGGGCTCCCTGCTGAGCGGGGAGTCTGTTTCTCCCTCTGACCCTCCCCCTCTTGTGCTCTCTCTCTCTCATTCTCTTGCTCTCAAATAAATAAATAAAATATTAAAAAAAGAAAGAATGACGAGAGGCCAGGACCTTCTGGTTCAGGAGACTCCTCCCTCAATACAAAGCACCCTTAATATCAGACACCAACACCCTCAGCACATACCTTTTGCACTTTGGCAACAGCGTGGGCTGCTTGGATTTCACTTATAGAAAGAACTTGCCATCCAGCTGCAAGGAGTGTATTAGTTAATAGCTTCCAGTTGTTAATGCTTTCAAGACCCACATTAGCTTTCAAGCTGAGGCTGTGCCCTTCCCAGGCAGCCCCGAGCCAATGACTTAACACTAGAGCCTGGCCATTTCTATGTAAGAAAATAACTTTATCTTTTAAGACTGAAAGATGATGATAATGTTAAATGTAAATTGAAGGAGGTAAACTAGATGATATGACTAAACCCTGAAATTCTCTCTAGTTCTTACATTCCATAAATCTGTCAAAAAGAATCTAGTAAAGTTTTTTATCTTTTTTTTAAGATTTTATTTATTTATTTGACAGAGAGCGACAGAGGGAAAACAAGCAGGGGCAGTGGGGGAGGGAGAAGCAGGCTTCCCGTGGAGCAGGGAGCCCGATACAGGCCTGATCCCAGGACTCTGGGATCATGACCTGAGTCGAAGGCAGATGCTTAACAACTGAGCCACCCAGGTGCCCCAAGAATCTGGTAAAGTTTTATACGGACTGTCAATCTTCCTCATCTCTGATTCACCGGTCAATATAAATAATGGTATTTTCATTCTTCTAGAAATTTGTCGCTAGTTCACTTCCCTTTCTGATGTTATCCTGAATTTATTCCCTTTTGATGATATCTGTAGGGTGATATTTTGAGACCAAGTGAATATCTTATTCCCCAACTCCATTTCATGTAATGGTTTCAACATCTCTTGATGATCTGTGTCTGAATCAAATATGTTACGGGTTGCAAAATGGCAATTTCCTAGCTTGGGCATTTCATCTGTATTTATTAGCTGGAATGCTTCTGAAAGAAAGGGTTTCCCTTTTGTAGAAATTCAAAATATTAACTTACAAAATATTTAAAATTAGGAAGGAACTTACAGGAATTTAGAGCTTGAAATATTTCAAAGCTAGATACAAGCCAATAGCATTTGGAGGCTGTACTGACTGGTCTTACATATTCTCTGGTCACATGGGAGAGGCACTCCAACCCTAAAGAGGTGAAAGATAACTAACAGTCTCGATTCAGGTGGTATGGTTCAGAGACAGAGGGGTTCAAGGTTTGCCTGAGCACAAAAGGCCTGTCCTGGCCTTGAGATCTGAACTCACAGGGCAGGCCTCAAATTCTTCAAGTCTTGGTGTCATTTCAAACATTGGCACTGGAAACAGCCCAAGGTTCACCTGGATAGGGTTGTTATAAATCACTGGATATTGTAGGTCCTTCCCATCTGGACCCAACCCATACATGGATTCACATGGAACACCACCGAGCCTCTAATTCTATTCCATTATCAGAGTGTCTTACTTTTCTGTATTTCCCACTAGATTGCAAACTCTTTCAGGGTAAAAACTGTGTCTATTCATTCACCACTGCACCCCCACAAACCTGGCACATAATAGCATTTATGTTAAAAGACATCTGTAATTTAGTTAACTTTTAAAGACACAGAAAGAAATGGCAGTAGCAGAAGCTTCATCCCTGCCTGACCAGCTAGTCTGATTCTCCTCTAAAGCAAATTTGCAAAATCATTAAACTGGGTTTCAAAACAAGGCAAGTTCAAACAAACAAAATAACTTTGTTATCATTAGGAAAGAACTGAGGGACAGCTAAGCCACTCCACCATGGCTAACATTTGTATTGTAAATGCAACAGAAGAGAAACAACTTCTTCATATTTTGAATTAAAGACAAATTAGTGTGGAATGAACGAGGTACCCTCGCTCCTTTCCTAGTCTCACTCTTGCTTTGGGGAGGGAGGTTATTTTAGCATGCAAAGAGACGCAGTTAATATTCTAATTACCTAGAGAAAGGTTTCTTCTCTGACATCTCTAAGGCCTGAGGTCTAACACCCTCATGCTAGACACTAGTAGAGGGTACTGTATCTGGATGAAGGAGGAAAATTTGGCAATAAGGGACTGGAGAGTACCCATCAAGGTTAACTGGATATGGACTACCCATAGGAAAAGTGCTTTGCATTATCCTCTGGATTTTGTGTATATTTTTGCTGGAATTATTTTTGTATATTTTGTGTCTATGTTTGGCAGCATTGATAATGAACTACACCAGCACACCATGATTTGATAATGGAACCCACCTGAATATCATTATAGACGGTGAAGCATAGCACTGAGGTTACACAATAAATCCAATTCTTTGGTGGAAAAGAGAAAAAGAAATGAATGTCAAAACAAACAAAAAATGATAGAACTGAACTTCAGTAATGTACACATTCCAAACTAACAAATATCATCTAACTTCAATAAAAAATGGATACATCTTCCTTTTAAATTTAAAATCTGGAGCTTTTCAGGAATTTAGGCTTGTTCTACAACTCCAAGGGCTTCCTTCTGTGTTGCATAAATAGTGGGAGACAGGTGGGGAGCATCATTCATGTGAATGTGAATTGTGCCCCCTGTTGGAAGTCACCCTAACTTCCTATTGAGGTGAATCCACTTCTGAGGAAAAACTAGAAGTGCCCAATGTGGCTTATAATATGGCCTCTCTTCCACCTTCTTCTTTTTAGCTTCTTCACTCCAAATTTTTGCACCAACTATAATGATCTACTTAACAACCAGCTTATTGTCATGCTCTTTCTTCCCCCTTTCCTGGGGTTTGCACAAGTTGTTCCCTTTGCCAAGCAAATTCTTCTCCCACTGTCCTACACCTTGACTAAATTCTTTTCCTCTTTCAGGCCTAAGATGAAATATCACTTCTGGAAAACCTTTGCCTAATAATAAAATAACTAAAACATATTGAGAATTTACTATGGGGCAGGCACATCTCTAAGTTCTTTCACAGGCGTTAACTTTTATAATTATTAGGAAAACTGTAGGAAGTAGGTATGATTATCCCATTTCATGGATGAGGAAACTGAGGCACGGATAGAAGGAATTTCTAAAACATTGTTACAAAGATGGGACCATGAACTCTCTGATGAAGTTAGAAAGGGATTGTGAGCAAACGGTTAAGAATGAGGGACTGGATATCATAATGAAGTTAAGCATTGTGCTGGGATGGGGGTCTTTTGAGCAAATGAGTTGTTAAGATTTGAAGATTATGGTAAAAGAGAGGTAGTGACTGCATTGGAGATTTCTGGAGATGGTGAAGCCTCTGATGGTGGCACGGCTCAAGCTACAAGCTGGGAAATGGGAGGCTGGGGTGGAGGAAGGTGTCCTTGACGATGTTTTTCGTTTTTCTTAAAGATGTTATGTTTGTTTATTTAGAGAGCAAGTGTGGGAGGCAGAGGAAAAGGAAGAGAGAGGATCCCAAGCAGAGTCCCCGCTGAGCATGGAGCCCCACTTGGGGCTCGATCTCACCACCCTGTGATCATGACCTCAGCAGAAATCAAGAGTTTGAGCTCAACCGACAGAGCCACTCAGGTGCCCTGACGATGTTTTTGTTTTTAATGCACAGTATCTGCTAAATTCTCAAATAAATGCTGGCTGGATGCGGTGAAATGCAACACTTTCAGGCAAGCCCTAACTCAAGTTTCCTCAGATGCTTCTTGCTTTTGCTTCTGTCCCCAAGCAGAGGACTATTCTCCACAGCCCACGGGAACATTCGCTGCCCGGATTCCCAGCTGGTCTCGCTCCCTTAACCTCAGGGGGCAGCTGAGTCCAAGCCCAGCGCTTCATCCACGTCTGGCCTCACTGGTCCCTGAAGGGGAGAATTCGTCTCCGAAAATAGGCCGCGCAAGGAGAAGCTGCTGCCAGTGTCGGAAGGGCGGGCGCTTGGCGGCAGCACCAAGTCTGTCCCCTCAGGTCGGCCGCTGGCCCAGCCCGCCCCCCGCAAGAACGTGTCGGAGCCTCGGCGTGAGGCCGCTGCGGCTTCGCCTCAGGGAAGCGAGATGGGCTAGTCGGCGGCTGCAGCAGGAAACCTCGCCCCCCACAGGCTCCACACCATCAGGAACCCTCGGGTCCCTGAGTAACCGAGGCAGAGGCGGCAAAGGCGGCGGGAAGCCGGGCCCCGCCTCCTCAACGGCCCCGGGAGGGGCGTGGCCGCAGCAGGCCCCGCCCACGCCGCGCGCGCGGCCCCCGGGCAACCGGCACAACACAACAAAATGGCCGCTGCGTCGCTGGACGCCTGAAAGGAAGAAGCTGCGCGTCTCCAGCCCGCCTCGTCCCACGGGCCTGTTCTGCTCGGCTCCCTGGCGGTGAGTGCCAGGCCTGATCGAGGCCGTTCTCGGGCCTTGGGCGGAGCCGTGGGGGCCGGTGGCGAAGGCGCGAAGGCCTGGACCGAGCGTGGGGTGGGCCGGCTGGGGATGGATTCGGGGACGGGGGCGTGTTCCTGGGACTTGGGATTGGATGAGAAGGAGGGGAGGGCCCGGAACGGGCGTGGAGAGGAGGATGAAAGAGGGAGGTTTGGATGATGAGTATTGCAAAGGTTACGGGTGGGGATGGGGGCTGGCGCTTGGGGATAGAGAACCGGAATGTGGGGAGGTGTGGACGTTGGGGGTGCGGCGCCGAGAAGGATGTGGGTCCCGCCACCCAGAGGCGGAGGGAGGGACCGGGGTGTGCCAGGTGTCTGTGGGGAATGAAAGGGCTAAAGAAGGTTTGGGTGTCCTCACGAGTGTCCATGGTATTGGACGGCATACAGTACATGGACAATGATGAAAGTTAGGATATGGGGAAGAAATGTTAAATGGAAGAGCAAATATTTTGTTGTATAATGGTTAAAGGGTGGGTGAATTTTCATGTCGAAACTTGGGTTCAAGTCTTGATTCTGCCACCTTTTAAGCGTTACTTAACCCGCTCTGTGACTTTGGGCATCTTCCTTAATCTTCCTGAGCATGTTTTCTCGTTTGTAAAAATAACTGCTGATTACCTTTGAGTCTACACTATGTGTCAAATTCAGTTCTAAGTCCTTTGCATGTATTAACTAATTCAGAAGTTAAAATAACTTGCATGAGGTAGCCATCTTCAGTTTAAAAGGGATGAAACTGAGGATCAGAGAGGTTAAGTAATTTGCCTAATGTCACACAGTAAGTGGAGAAGCAGGATTTGAACTGGGGCTGTGTAGTCCCAGGATCCAAGCTCTTAATTCTCAGTGAAACACTGCCACTAGTAAATGAGGTTAATAATTCTGACCTTATACATCATCTGTAAGAATTTAAATTTGGTAATGTCTTTAGAGTGCTTAGTACATTCCTCTTTTCATTCATTTAACAAATATTTATTGTACATCAAACAATAGAATCTCTGCTGTATTGTAGCTTAGAAGCAAGCAGTAATCAAGTTGTTGTACAGATGATTAATTCTAATTGTAAGATGTTATTAAAGGAGACTACTTGGTGCAAAGACCGTTTATAATAGGGAGATGTAATCCTTTTGTGCATCTTGAGTGTAGAAACACTACTTTCCCAGTTCTATTTTTAAAGCCTCACAGTTCTTAGTGCCTAAAAGTTACTCAATAAAATCGAATTACTGAATAAATAAATTAATGGGAAGAGATGGGCGGCATGAGGCTTTTAGGATACCTGAGTAGAATGGAGAGAGATATGAGAGGAGAACCCAGGATAGTAATAGGATGAAGACGGACACGGGGGGGTCAGGGTGTTAGAAGGGAAAGGTTAGTAGTCAAGCAATCACATTGGGATGAAGAGGAATGTGTAGAGGTTTGGCTGTTTTGTTGGAGGAGGAGAATACTTTGAAGTCAGAATATTGGAATGGGTTAGGATGTCAGGATATTTGCTGAGATGAGGAGTTTGGGGAATCAGGACGGATATAGAAGTGTTGAGGTAGGATACTGGAAAGAACTACAGATATATGGAGACTAATACCGTGTTAGGGAATTTGGACAGAATTTGTGGGGAAACTTGGCAATGAGAATGGGATGAAGGATAGGAGGCAGAGCTTGACAAGCACAGGATGGGAGGATTGCCTTTGGTGAGGAGTGGGAATCAGCATATTTGAAAGGACTAGAAAAAGTTAAAGCGTAAGGTATTTAAACGTGTCATTTGTATGGGATGAAGTAGAATTGTAGGGAAAGTACTGAGATGTGATGAAAAGGCTACGGGATGGAGAGGGATATGGAGGTCAAGAAATGGGGATGGATATTTGCATATTGGAGTGGACTGGGAAGAGAGAGGGAGGGTTTGGGGATAATGGAGGCTGTCTTATTTGGAGAAGATCAAAGAAGATGGAAAATTAGAAGTGTGAGGAAAGGCTGAATAGAGGCGGAGGTATGGTCTCTAGCAAGCTATGTGTCAGGGCAAGGGAGTGACAAGATGGATGGTGTTTTCTGACCTATCAGAGTCATATGACTCTGATAATACCATCATTCCAGTAACTTTCTCTTGCACTGCAAACCCCCTTCTGGGCCTTCAAAATACGTCTCCAGCTCTGGACTTTTTTGCTTATTTTGTTTTCTCTTTATGCTACCTCTTCATACACTCTAGCCCTACCCCTCAGCTGTCTTCTCTTTTTTATTGCTTGGTCTTTATGTGATTATAAACTACATCTCGGGTCAGACAATATCCCCATCTCTCCCTTAAAATTGTAGTTGACCATTTACTACATCTTGGTGCTGGTCTCCGAAATAATGTTAACCATTCTCAAACACAGCCCAGTTCACTATTATTGAGTTGGTTATTTTATGAGATTGTAATATATATCTGTTGTTTCAGTGACCAAGCCTTACAGGAGCTATGGCAACCTGGGGCCAGCGGGGTGGGGGGGTGGGGTGGGGGATCTGGGAATGCATTGTGCCTTTGGAACTATCACTTAATCTTTGTTACAATTTATAAAAGAAAGGAATTGATCTGGGGCACCTGGGTGGCTCAGTCGTTGAGCATCTGCCTTCAGCTCAGGTCATGGTCCTGGGATTGAACCCCGTGTCGGGCTGCCTGCTAGGTGGGAAGCCTGCTTCTCCCTCTCCCACACCCCCTGCTTGTGTTCCTGCTCTCGCTGTGTCTCTCTCTGTCAAATAAATAAAATCTTAAAAAAAAAAAAAAAAAAGAAAGGAAAGGGAATTGATCTAGATTTCAGAAATCCATTCTAAAATGTTTTTTAAAATCTATAAATGAGTAAAGCAGAGTTTTTCTGATCAAGAGTGGTAATGGAGGACCTCATAATAGTCTAGTGAAGCTTGAAAGGTCTTAATCATTAGGATATTATGAGGAGAATTCATGATGGTTTAGTACTGTAACAATTTAGAGAGAAGACTAAGATGTGGAATACAGAATAATTGCATTGCATAAAAATATAAGATGTGCTTCTTTTTTTAGCCAAGAAACTAAAAAATATATATAAAGCATATCTCTGTAGCATATGGCAACATCCTATCATTCTAATTATATAATTTTCTATCCTGTTACAGGGTAGGGAAAGATATGTAGAATTGAGAGGTGGTCCCTGTCCCTCCCCTCTTTTTATTTTTTTCATCTCTTGCCTTTATGAAAACTACATATAATTCATGAATAAATATATTTAATTTTATTTATTATTTTTATAATTTTATTTTTAAAGCACATGCCTCTTAGCTGTCCTCAAGTTTGAGTATATTATTCTTATTTAGAAAGAGACACCCTTATAGGTCAGTACAGAATCAGTATTACTAAGAGATTTGTTTCCATGGCAGAGTGGTGTGATAGTAGAGATAGAAGTTTTTGCCACACTTGGGAAATTAGGACCAAAAGCATTGTCACTGGCATAAAGAGCAGTTATGTGAATTGGAGGAGGCTTTTCTGATCTATATGGGTAGTTTAACATGAAAAAAATGAAAGAGAAAGTAAAGACACATAGAAGTTTGCAGTTTATTTTTTTATTTTTTTTTTAAAGATTTTATTTATTTGACAGAGAGAGAGAGCACAAGTAGGCAGAGCTATAGGCAGAGGCAGAGGGGGAAGCAGGCTTTCCCACGGAGCAGGGAGCCCGATGTGAGACTCGATCCCAGGACCCTGGGATCACGACCTGAGCCGAAAGCAGACGCTTAACGACTGAGCCACCCAGGCGCCCAGAAGTTTTCAGTTTAAAGTGAACTGGACTGCTGGCACAGGCAGTTGGCCATATTGTAATGTAGAACTGTGAGATAATAATCACTTCTTAAAAAATTTTATTTAATTATGTTAGTCACCATACAGTACATCATTAGTTTTTGATGTGGTGATCCACGCTTCATTGTTTTCATACAACCTGCAGTGCTCCATGCAGTCCGTGCCCTCCTTAATACCCATCACCGGGCTAACCCATCCCCCACCCCCCTCCCCTCTAACACCCTCAGTTTGTTTCTCAGAGTCCATAGTCTCTCATGGTTCATCTCTCCCTCTGATTTCCCCCCCTTCACTTTCCCCTTCCTTCTCCTAATGTCCTCCCTGCTATTCCTTATGTTCCACAAATAAGTGAAACCATATGATAATTGACTTCCTCTGCTTGACTTATTTCACTTAGCATCATCTCCTCCAGTCCCATCCATGCTGATGTAAAAGTTGGGTATTCATCCTTTCTGATGGCTGAGTAATATTCCATTGTATATATGGACCACATCTTCTTTTTCCATTCATCTGTTGAAGGGCATCTCAGCTCTTTCCACAGTTTGGCTATTGCGGACATTGCTGCTATGAACACTGGGGTGCATATGGCCCTTCTTTTCACTACATCTGTGTCTTTGGGGGTAAAGACCTAGTAGTGCCATTGCTGGGTCATAGGGTAGCCCTATTTTTAATTTTTTGAGGCACCTCCACACTGTTTTCCAAAGTGGCTCTCCCAACTTGCATTCCCACCAGCAGTGTAAGAGGGTTCCCCTTTCTCCACAGCCTCTCCAACATTTGTTGTTTCTTGCCTTGTCCATTTTTGCCATTCTAACTGGTGTAAGGTGGTATCTCAATAATCACTTTTTAAAAACAAATGTAGCAGGTCTTTGTTCTCTTCAAACTAGTCACCTTAAGAAGATAGATCACGAGTTCAGTGATGTTATTATATTAAATTTTCTCGTTTTCCTTCAGGAATTGTCTTATAGTATATGCTATTCTGTTGATCAAGGTCATTTAGTGTCATTTATTCTGGTCTCTTTGTGTGAGGCACCATGCTAGGCTCTAGAGAGCAAATCAAACATGATCTGGACTCCAGAAAACTCAGTCAGCAATATGACACAGTAATGAAGACATGGGCTTTGAAATCAGATCAGGATTCAAGCCTTGGATTAACCAATTAGTTATGGGACTTTAAACAGATTACTTGACCTTTTAATCTTTAAAGGGGGAGATGATAACACCTATTTGTGGAATTGTTATATTTGATCCTTCTAATGTAATGATACAGGTAAGAGCTTATCACAATATTTGACAGATGGTAAAGTTAATGTTCAACCTGGGAAAATACTAGCTGAAGTGATGGGTCTGATTTTCTGGTGAGATGTATAAATAATTCTGAAAGCAGGACCCAAAGAGGAATTCCAGACATGTTTTGGGTAAGATCAGCATTCCTAGATTGACTGTATTCATCATGGAAAGATATTACATCTCTTATTTGTTGGTTAATTGATTGACTATATTAATGGCGCCTCTCTTTTCCATGTATTAAATATGTTCCAACCATTTAACAAATAAGTTTCTTCATAATCCCAGCCTGTATAATAATACCTATATACTTGTGAAGGTGTTCACACATCAAACCATTATAATATCTTGTTCTAGTACCAATTTGTATAGCATTGACATTGGAGCTGCCCAAAATCTTTGCATTGAAAACTCTTCTAAAAATTAAAGATTTTATTTACTTGAGAGAGAGTGAGCAAGAGGGAGAGCACGACCCAGGGTAAGAGGCAGAGGGAAGGGGAGAAGCAGACTCCCCCGCTGAGCAGGGAGCCCAGTGCGGGATTCAGTCCCAGGATCCTGGGATCATGACCTGAGCCGAAGGTAGACACTCAACTAACTGAGCCATCCAGGTGCCCCAACTTTTCTAAAAATTAATTTGTGTTTTGTCTTCACATTTTAAGAAGGGAGAATAGGGGAGATTATGGATACTGAGCAAAAATAGGATCCATTGCCTTGCTGAAGGCCTATCCATTTTATAAGATTTTTTTCTATCTGAAAGTTTGTCAAACTTATGATTTTTGCAATAGTTGTACTTATAAAAGTAATTGTATATTATGAAAATCTTTTTTGTATAAGCCTAACCTTGCACATTAGGACTCTTGGTGTAGAGGACTAACATTGCACAAGAAGATATCCTTTTGTTGTGGTACTAAATAAATGCATTTTATCAGTTCTTCATGAGTAATTCATGAGATAAAATTAATTACCTGCTTTCTGCTAAGTTCTGCCCTAGGCCTGGAATAAATCAGTGAACAATATCCCTACTTTCATGGAACTTACATTCTACTAGAATCGTTATGTGATTTGACTTACAAATTAGTTTGAGAGGAGAACTGATTCTCATCATTACTATAGCTAGCATTGTGTCTGACCTAGTCATTTACCATTCTGGGCTTTAATTTTCTTTTCTGAAAAGTAAAGGGATTTGACTAAGATCCCTTTCATCAATAAGTGCTTTCATTCCTTCTGGAACACCTAAACTTCAACAAAATTGATTTTGTGGACAAGCAATAGTAGACATGCAAGTTTGAAGCAATCAGATGTTTTTCAAATAGCATTAGACAAATCTGAATGCATACCAGAAGCATAATGTTTAACGAAGAAGGCAGATATAAAAACTGTTCTATGATTTCATTTACATATAGTTCAAAAATAGTTTATCGAGTGCCTGCCTGGCTCAGTTGGAAGAGCATGCGACTCTTGATCTCAGGGTTGTGAGTTCGAGCCCCATGTTGGATGTAGAAATACTTAAAAATAAAAATCTTAAATAGTTAAAAAAAATCTCTGGTATTGGAAATCAGTGTAATGATTACCCATGTATGTGGGCTAATGACTGGAAAGGGTGTATAAGGTGGCTTCTTGGGGGGGGGTCTGGTAATATTCCATTTCTTGATCTGGATGTTGGTTGTATTCACCGTATAAAAATTCATGGAGCTGTACACTTATGATTCATGTGTTATTCTATATGGGAGGAATGGGGGAAGTGATAAATTCAGTTTGGACATATTGAGTTTAGGATGGCAATGAAATATCAAGTAGACAGTTGGAAACAGGAGTCTGGAACTCAGAGAGAGGTTGGATTGAAGATATAAACATCAATATACAGGTGACACTGGGAGCCATGGGTGTGCATTAGGTTGTCTAAAGTAAGATTGGAGAGAGAATAGAAGAGACTTGAGGAGCTCTGACATTTGAAGATTGAATAGAGGACTGTGAACCAACAAAGGAAGCCAAGGAGTAGCCACAAAGGCAGGAGGATACCAGGAGAATGTGGTGTCCCAGAAGTGAAAGAAGAAACTTTATCAGGAAGGAGAGAGTAGTTGTCAGTATTAAATACTGCTGGTTACCAGACATTTCCAGCTTCCTACATTCTAGGACCCTTTGTGGGTATGAGGGGTATTGTGACTATTTTGGTCCAACAGAGAAGAGAAATGACAGATAAGACTTCTGGTTGGAGCATGTGTCAATACAAGAGCCTCTGGAGGTCTCTTTTCCCTCTGGCAAGGTGATCAGCAGTGTTTGAAGCAGTGTCTGCTCCCATCTGCTTGGAGTAGTATGGGTCCTAGCATCTATAGCCTCTGAGTCATCCTCAGAACTCTAGAAATAAGGGCGCTTAGCTGGCTCAGTTGGTAGAATGTGTGACTCTTGATCTTGAGGTAATGAGTTCAAGCCCCACTTTGGGTGCAGAACTTAAAAAAATTCTAAAAGTAGATTAATAGTTTTGAGAGGTCTAAAAAATTAACCTTGTTAAATATGCTGAAAACTCTTACAGGTTTTGATGGACACCCGGCTTTATTCTTGCCATGAAGAAAAGTTCTCAACAAAAATTTTCCAGTGCAAAGATGCCCCCATCACCTCACTCTCCTAGTCTACCATCCCTTGTGTCCAGTATGAGATCTAGGTCACTTTCACCTCTAAGTGGATCTGAGACTCTTCGTTTTGGAGGACAATGGAATGAGCAAGTTGAGATTACAGATGGAAACATGGTGCTTTTGGACTACCAAGACCATAAAGGTAATGCTTTTTAATCTAAGAATTTGAGCACATACTCTAGAGTAGAGATGGAAAATTACCAAACTTACACTTTTTGTCCAGGAGAAATATATATCTTTGTACTAACATGACCTATTGTTTATACCAACAGAAAGTATGTAAGGACAGTGGAGGATGAAAGCTTCTGGGTGAGGGTGAAGCCGCCTGAAAGGGCTTGGAGAAGGGAGTTTCCAGAAAGAGGAAGCTTTATTTCCTGTGGTGGAAGAGTACCTTAAAGCTCATATGCCAAATTTACCATCGTCCTTGGCTAGAGGAAAAGCCTATCTGTTCACTTCAGAGTGGAGTGCCTTAATTCAGTACAAAAATGTAATCTACCCTTGGGCTAGTCCAGTCTGCTTATTGGCAAACTGCTTATTGTGTCCCCCTAAGGGACGTGTATATGTTCCTCCAAGGTTTTGTTTTTATTTTTTTTCTTAAAAGCAGTCTGTTCATGTGGAAATCTGTTTTCAGAAATACATTCTTTTTTTCCAAGAGACGATTTAATGTAACTGAATGTGAATGAAAACTATGTGATTTCTTTGCTAAGTCATGAAATCAAAGCTACCTATCTGCTCAGTTTTGATTACTAAACCTTATCAGCGGTTGAGTTTAGACTACGCTCTTGCTGTCAGTTGTACACTGTTGACTCTAATTTGATTAATATTTTAGAGTATTAGTCATTTTCTTTCCTAGAATAGCCCAAATTAAAGGAAAAAATCATTTTATTTTGAACCAAAATAAATGTAATATTAACTTATTGTAAATAATCATAGGGACACTTTGTCGTACAGCCTGGATCTGAACCCAGGATTAATTTTTTCTGACTCCTAAAGAAAGAATTTTCTTTTTACAGCTGCCTTTGTAAAATGTAAGATGGCTTTACCTTTCCTAACCTTAGGACAGGGTGTGCTGTCCATCAAGTTAGAACTTTGTAAAATATGTTGTGTTATTCTCTGTTTAAAAGAGCAACAAATTTGAGTTTCTTGCCATTAAAAAAAAAGGATTTTTAAGAATTCCAGTGTTTCTGAAGTTTAGATTGGAATTAAAAAAAAAAAAAACAAACAACCAGATTAGTGACAGCTTATTTAAAACAAAACAAAACAAAAAACTAGGTAATTTAGCACTGTAATAAATGGATAACCATAAAAAAAAAAAACAAAAAAACTAGGGGGCGCCTGGGTGGCTTAGTCGGTTGTCTCCCACTCTTGATTTTTGGCTCAGGTCATGATCTCAGGGCTATGAGATCTAGCCCTGCTTTGGGCTCTGCTCTAGGTGTGGAGCCTGCTTAAGATTCTCTCTCTCCCTTTCCTTCTGCACGCTCTTTCCCCTTCCCTCTCTCTCTGTTTCTCTCTCTCTCCTTCTCTAAGGAAAAAAAAGTAATATAAAAAACATTGCTAAAATTTCAATGATGGATGTGATTAAAAGTATTAAGTTTTGGGTTCTTTTGCCTGGGCTCAAGTCCTGGATTTCCACATCATTAGCCACAAGATCTTGAGCAAACTATTATCATTTTTTTTTTAAGATTTTATGTATTTATTTGACAGAGAGAGAGCAAGAGAGGGAACACAAGCAGGGGGAGTGGGAGAAGGAGAAGCAGGCTTCCCGCGGAGCAGGGAGCCCGACGCGGGGCTCGATCCCAGTACCCTGGGATCATGACCTGAGCCGAAGGCAGATGCTTAATCGACTGAGCCACCCAGGCGCCCCTATAATTTTTTTAAATAAATGGGAATAGTAATTTCTATTTTAAATGTTGTACAAATTAAATTTTAAGTGTAAAGCATATAGCACAAGCTTGGCACAGAGCTAATATTTATAAAGTATAACTTACATTACTATATATGTATGCAATTATTATAATGCTATATAAAGTAAAATATTATTAAAACATTGCAATTGGAACTAACCAGCTGTTTTTGTATTTGCATGGCTTAAAAAATTTTTTTTTGTTATATAACATCAAAATAATTTGCTTTTCAGAGATGTCCTCTTCTACTGATGACGATGATCTGTTTTTGTAATTTCAGAAGCTGATGCACATGCAGGAATCCGATATATTACAGAGGCCCTTGTTAAAAAACTTACTAAACAGGACAATTTGGCCTTTGTAAAGTCGCTGAACCTTTCACTTGCTAAAGATGGTGGCAAGAAATTTAGGGTAGGTTACCAGCATTGTTTTTTAATTTTTCTGTGTTTTAAAACTGAAAATTAAAAGATTATATTAGATTTACAGTAACATCTCATCCTAATGTCACCTAATTTGTAGCAGACCTTGTATTGTTTCCAGTGAAAGTTCTATATCGGAAGCATGACATCTTCACATTCATAAGCTCCTATTATTTTATACATTATTGGATTCTTTCTAGAGATGGGGTTGGCAAACCATAGCTTGTATGCCAAATCGGGCCTGCTGCCTATTTTTGTAAATAAAATTTTATTGGAACACAGCCATACTCATCTGTATACATATTGTCTGTGGCTGTTTTTGCAGTATAGTAGCAGGAGTAAATAGTTGTCACAGAGACTATATGGCCCATAATGTGGCTTTTTCGAGAAAAAGTTTGCTGATCCCTGCTCTGGAGTGTTTATTACTTTCGTACACTATACAACATGAACACATTGTAAAAGACAACTTAAACTTTTTAATTGGAAAAAATATAAACTTAAAAGCCTAATACATTAGTCACAAAAATTAATTCCAGAAGGTTGAAGATTTAATGAAACCGGAACAAAACCCATAAAAATGCTATAGAATTATTAGGAAAGAATATAGGGGAGTATATTTTAGAATCTTAGAGTTGGGAAAGCCCTTTAGGCAAGCACTAACCCTAATGCCACAAAGAAAAATATTGACAGACTTAGTGTACATAAAGTTTAGTGTTTAATGAAAGATATCTTTAAAAGTTAAGCTGTCAGGGAGTGTTTTCAACATATATAACAATACCCATATAATATAAAGAGCTTCCACAATTCAGTAAGAGACAACTCAATGGAAAATGTGCAAAGGATATGAACAAGGCATTCACAAAAGTATTATAAATGGCTAATCATAACATGAAAATATGTTCAACTTTATTAAAAAATATGAAAACAGTAGTTTGATACCATTTTCATTCTTGTATGTCTAATGGACAAGAATTAAAAGGATTATTTCAGTGTTCAGAAAGGTGTGGGAAATGGGTATTATCATATTTCTTAGTGGGACATATACATTGCTCCTGCATTTTAGAAAGACAGTTTGATAGCATTTATCCAAATTTCAAGTGTACTTATTTGATCCAGCAATTGAGTTTATACTTCCTGAATTTATACTTACCAACCCAGCAGTTCTACTCCTTGATGTCTGTTCTACTGATATTACATGCACATGTATCCAGAAGTATCTATATAGTCATGTTTATTAAGCATTATTTAAAATAGAAAAATTGGAAATAACCAAATTTCTATCAATAGGGAATCAGTTAAATAAATTATGGTCCTGTAGACCATGACATACTATCAAGTTTCTTAAAAAAATAAGTTAGAGCTCTGTGTATTAATGTGGGACAATGTCCACAGTGCATTTAATGAAAAAAAAATTCTAAAACATTTTGTATAGTAAGGTCTAAAAATTCTGTTTTTCTATTTGCGTATATATGGATGTAAATGAATAGAAAGATATAGATGTTTATATGTTAGTCTCTTAACAATGGTTACCTTTGATCAGTGGGATTTTTTTTACAGGGGCCTGGGGACTTGATGAAGAGAGCTTCTTATGTTTCATTTGAAATTTTTATTAGAATATATTTATGTCTTGTGTACTTAAAAAGGAAAAAGGAGACATTCTGGAGTTTACAAGTTGCAAAAATGAAATCAAAGTACTAAATATTTACTGTATGGTTATGATATGCCAGGCATTATGTTAGGCTGTGGGAAAAGGTACACAGGTAAATAAGTTTAGTTTCTGATCTCTGGGAACTTAGAGCTTCCTAGAATGCTTGGGATTAAGAGGAGAAATAGTGAAGGGGAATCAGAGAGAGAGAAAGCACACACAGGAGAGGCATAGCCAATGAAGAAGTCTAAAGGGACTATTAGAACAGAAGATCTAAGTGTATGATGAATGGAGGCCAAAGGAGGGAGAACTTCCAGCAGGAATGGATGGTATAAAATGTCACAGAATCATTAAATAGGATGAAAACTTAGAAGTCATTTGGATTTGGCAGTTAAAAAGCCCTTCTATTTCTCAAACCAACTGGGCCTTTGTATTTGTCTACTCTGCCTGTTATTCTCTGCCCTGAGATGTTCACACAGCTGGTTTCTTGTTATTAAGGTCTCAGTTCAGTGTCCTTCCTCTGTGAGGCCTTCCCTTACCACCCAGTTGCCCTTAGCTACCTTCTCCGTGACTCTCATTCTTTCTGCCAACAAATATTTATTCAGTGCCCACTCTGTGCCAGGCATTTATGCTTACGCAGTGAACACAGCAGACAAATCTGTCCCGTTGGTGCCTTGTAGGCTGTCACATCATGTTATCTTTATTTTCTTGTTAGTACACTTCAGTGTCTGAAAATGTTATTTATTGGCTTTCTCTGTGAATGAAAGCAAGAATCTTGGTTTCCTTATTCACCAATGTATTTCTAGTATCTAGAACAGCCCCTGGCACATAATCCATGTTTGATAAATATTTGTGGAGTGGATGGATGGATGAATGGCAATCTTGGAGAGAACTATTTGAATACATAGTAAAAGCAGAAGATATTTTGCCCTACCAGTAGAATAAATGGAAGGCAGAATGAGCAAATGTACACAACTCCTGTGAGAACGTGGTCACCAATAAAGGAGCTAAAATGATAACTTGATAGGAAAACAAATTTATTGTGCGGTAATTTGTTTTGTAAGAAAGAGGTTGAGCCTGTCGAACAAAGGCTCCTGTAGCAGGGGAGTTGTCTAGTTCACTGGTATCCATTGCCCGGTGTGCATCTGGTATGTAGTAAGTACATAATGGGTATCTATTGAATAGTGAAGGGGAAGATGCAGGAGTGAAAGAGACTAAAGATGCAAGACCGTGGCGGGAGGAGGTAGATGAAGTTATGCAAGAGCATAAGTACCTAGCTGAACTTCGAAGAAGGAGAGGAAGGAGGGGCATGGAAAAGTTGAAGTGGAGGAAAAGGTGAGGTGGAATTCTTGTTGGATAGTCTTGATTTCCTTGATACATAGGACGTGTTGTCCACTGAGGGGCGAAGAGAGCTGCTATTTCTGGTTGAAGGAAGCTGTACCAAGGGATTGTCCAGGAGAGCAGAAAGGGTTTATTATTCTCTGGTGACTGATCAAAACAGCCCCTGATGCACATACATACATGTTGTACTTTATGTCAAGGCATCTGTCATATAAAGTATTTACTCATTTATTTCCAATTAGTATATCGAAAATTTGGAAAAATGTGTTAAACTTGAAGTACTGAATCTCAGCTATAATCTAATAGGGAAGATTGAGAAATTGGACAAGCTGTCAAAATTACGTGAACTCAACTTATCATATAACAAAATCTGGTAAGTAAATACTTCTTTAAGTAGCACTGCAGGGTTGTCTTTGCTAAAGAGGTAGATTAATTTTGCCCACATCACTGAATTGAGAGTCCTTGGAAACAGCAGGTGCTTGGATCCTCATTCATTGCTAGTCTAACCCTTCACATATGATAACTGGTTTCTCGTTTTGGCATTACTAAAGTACAGAATAATATCTTTCTAGCATTATCACAGGAGATACATGAATACCAAATTTTATTTTAATTCCATTTTTGACAGGAAGTTTTCACAGATAGTCTTTGATCCACTGCCTTATTACATTAAGAAAGTTGACACAAAGCAGTGTGTTTTAACCCTGTCATTTTGATCTTAACGATATTTCAATGTATTTTGATCCTATGTGTTTATCCTGATGTTCTTTGTTCATTGCTATAATACATTCAGTCATGCTTCCACTTCATTATATATATTACTGTGAGAAATAAACATAATAAAACTGACAGTGGCAAAAACCACACATAGAAAACTTGTTATAAACAAAATGATGCAAATATCAAATCTTGAAAATCCTTATATCTGTATACTTCCCTCCACTTTAGACTTGGAAAATATAGTGGCCAACAAAACAAAACCACTAACAGTGGCAGAAGCTCTAATATGGCAAAAAATGATAGGGGAAAAAAATTGAATCAAATCCCTAATATAAAGTTTGTATAAAAAATAATTGATCCTGATAAAAATAATTTTAATAAAATAAACATGAAAATAAAGAAGCTTGGAAATATTTGCCCATAGAAAATTTACCAAGGAATTAAAATGACAATTAAATTGTAATCAATTAAATTGACAAATTGGGAAAATATTTCATCAATGAAAATTCATCAAAATGAATGATAAATGTTTTATTGTTCTAAATATTCTGATTAAAATATTTATGTTCATAAATATAGTGTCCATAAACACAGAGAGTCTATCAGTTCAAAATGGCAGCCATATCCTGCTGTCATAGCTAATCTTTTGGTGATGACTTAGGGTAATAATTAAGAATATCTCTTGTGCAGGACTGTATGGAACATAGGAATGTGTGCTGTTGAGTTTTTCAGCTCTCCCGTGGCTGTCCACTAGTACTGCTCCCAGTGGGTAGTGATAATACCATGGATAGACTCTCCTTTTCTGTGTTGTGGGATCCTAAAGTCTGATAGTAGGATAGGTAGGATTCCTGGACCCAGTAACGAAGAGTTGGCCGCTTAGCTGTTCTGGTCAATTTCTTTTTAGCCACTTTTGTTTGGTTCTCGTTTATAAAAGTGTTAACAAATTATAATTATGGAAAGTAACCCCACATAAAACCAAGGTTGTTTATTCTTAAACATACATTGGAGGAACTCTATCATTGTATTTACTAAATTTGATTTTGTCCTTTGCTTTCCAGCAAAATTGAAGGCATAGAAAATATGTATAATCTGCAAAAGCTAAACCTTGCAGGAAATGAAATTGAACATATCCCAGTATGGTTAGGGAAGAAGTTAAAATCTTTGCGAGTCCTCAATCTGAAAGGCAACAAGATATCATCGGTAAGTTATTCAAAGTAGTAAAAAAATTTTTTTCAAATTTTTAGACTTGTTGAAAAAAATATTAAATCTAAGTTTTTAAAAAGTGAGATTTCTTGGGGGGTCTGGGTGGCTCAGTCGGTTAAGCGTCTGTCTTCGGCTCAAGTCATGATCCCAGGGTCCTGGGATTGAGCCCCGCATCAGGCTCTCAGCTCAGCGGGGAGCCTGCTTCTCCCTCTCCCTCTACTGCTCCCCCTGCTTGTTCTCTCTCTCTCTCTCTCTCTCTCTCTGTCAAATAAATCAATAAAATCTTAAAAAAAGAGAAATGAGATTTCTTCGTTTAAGGTTCTTGGTCCTTTGACCAGAGATCAAATTTAGGCATAACCTAGGACTCTCTAGGGTATTTAAATATCGGCATTTCTGGTTTTGCATGGTTCCATGGTAACTGAGAGTTGACCTCTTAGGATTTTTGCATCTGTCATTTCATTTGAGCCTTAGAAAACTTTTCTTGAGGAGGCAGTAAAGGGATTATTTTTTGAATACTATCAGGTAGTGTATTGTCTTTTTCCCATTTTCAGGTTAAGTCTCTTACTCACAGTCACGCAGCTTGTGCCAGAATCCAGGTCACTGAATGCCAGGAACTGAGTTCTTTCTTTTGTTTTGTTTTTTTCACACTTATGAATTAAGCTTGATTATAGTGTCAGGTGTTATAGGAGGTTAATCACTAGCTCTTATAGTAGAGCAACTTCGTTGGCTTCACATAATCTGATACTTCATGGCTTCATGGCTCCCATAATCTGATAGTCGTGTATGCTTTCCTTTGGAGTATAATTTATGATTTTTTTCTAACATTTATACAATTAGGTGTTTAAAAAGTATTTGTTAAGGGATGCCTGGGTGGCTCAGTCAGTTAAGTGTCTGCCTTTGGCTCAGGTCCTGATCCCAGGGTCCTGGGATCGAGTCCCGTGTCAGGCTCCCTGCTCAGCAGAGAGCCTGCTTCTCCCTCTGCCTGCTACTCCCCCGTTTGTGTTCTCTCGCTCTGACAAATAAATAAATAAAATCTTTAAAAAAAATAAGTATTTGTTAAGTAAAAACATTGATTTACTTAAATCTACATTAAAATTGGAACAACCATGCTCAAAGAACATCAGTCATAGAATAGACAATAAAAGATGTGCTTCCTAATATGGGTCCAGACCTGCCTTCTGTGACCTTGGAGAATCCCTATATCTCGCTAAAACTCATTGTTTAAATTGGAGAAAACAAACCCTACCATGCCTTCTTTACAGGGGTGTTATTGGGCTCAGATAATATGATAGATATGAAAATGTTTTAAAAACTTTAAAACACTAAATAACTCCTTAAACCTTCACCAGTGGAAGCCAAGAATGATAAACAACATTTGTTTAATTACTGTGCAGTTCACAATGTCCATGCTTTCTTATTTCATCTTTCTAAAGGTCTGGTAAGGTGACTCTGTACCATTTCACTGCAACAGCCCAAAAGCCTCAGAGCCCAAACCCTATACCATGTTGCACAGCATCACCTTGGAGCTCTTGGGGCTTATGCTATGATGGAAAGAGGTAGCCATGAATCTAAAATTTGCTATAAATATTCCTCCAATTAGTCGATTGTTAGATAGTACTCAGTGTCAACTGATGTTAACAGGAAAATTATTCAATAAATATTTATTATCATTTCTAATTTTTTATGACTTTCTCATCCCAGTTTATATTTGACATTGTCATCAGTAAGAGTGATACACATTCACTTGTGAGAGGAGATTTATTTATACTAGGTATTAGGAGTAGCATTTCTCAACCTTTTAAAATCTCTCTTTGGATAAACATAAAAGTCTTTAAGAATGTGAGTATCTCTCTGTATCCTTGCTTATTTCTTTTAACTGTCAATTATAACTGTTATCTAAAGATTTACCAAAATCTTTTTTATAGCCATTTATATTTGTGATGTGTTCAATCAGTATAATGAAAAAATAGTTTAAAGTTACACAGATGAATTCAAATCCTGTTTTGTTCATTTGTAAGCTCTGAGCTTTGGGCAAGTTATTTAATTTCTTCGAACTTCAGTTTCTTCATCTACAAAATTAAGATGTTGTTTCTATCATAGGTTGTTGTGAGGAGTCGTAAATGAAATGGCATATGGAAAATGCCTAATACTGCCCTGATACACTATAGATACTCAGATACTCACTGTCTGTTCCTCCCCTCACACCACTGATTTTGGATAATGGGTTCCATGAAGAGGTTCCTTGCCATATTGATAGCAATTTTCTTTATTTATTACTTTCTTTAGGTATGTTTTTGTTATTTTAAAACTAAATTATAGAGATACTAATGTTATATATCATTTCAGCTCCAAGATGTAAGCAAGTTGAAACCACTTCAAGATTTGACTTCTCTGATCCTACTTGAAAATCCAATTGTGACCCTTCCTCATTACATCCAGTTTACCATTTTTCATCTTCGCTCATTGGAAAGTTTGGAAGGTCAGCCAGTATCTACCCAGGACAGACAAGAAGCTTTTGAGAGATTCAGCTTAGGTAAGGTGACATTTAAAAAAAAACTAAATTTGGGTGGGGGAGGAATTTATTTTCAGAAGTTATCCAGAAAAATATATTGAAGTATGAGCTTTATAATGCTATTAAAATTTTTTTTGAAAAATACCCCCATAAACCAATTAACATCAGTGTCATTATACAACAATTATACATTAATGTCATTAAGAATCAACAAGTATTTATTGAGCATGTACTGTGAACCAGGCACTGGATCTGGCACTAAGGATACAATGGTGAACAAGACATATGGTACTGGACTTCATGCAGCTTGTATTTTAGTGGAAAAGAAAGACAAAAAGCAAGCAAACCCAGATAAAGTAACAGAGGAGAGAACCCCCTTTTGGCAAATGTGGTGTAAAGGAATGGCTCTCTGAGAAGTGACATATAAGCTGATGGCATAGGCAGGAGAGGATTAGCCATGTGAAGAAAGATGTTCAGAGAGAGGAACAGCTTGTACTTTCAGGCTGGAAAGCCGCTGGTAAATTAAAGAACTAAAGGTTCAGTATGACTGGAGGATAGCTCAAGAAAAAGTTGGGAGAGCTGGGGGAGGGGCGAGATGACACAGGGCCTTGGGGTTTGGATTTTATTTCAGGTGCAGTAAGAAGCATATGAGAAGTTTTAGGCAGCAGTGGGACATGATCCACTTTATATTAAGAAGATTATTTTTAGAGTACACTTATCCTGATGAACACTGAGTAATGCATAGAATTCAATCACTGTATTGAATTGTATCCCTGAAACTAATATAACACTGTATGTTAAGTATACTGGAATTAAATTTTTTTTAAAAGAGGGGCGCCTGGGTGGTTCAGTTTGTTAAGCGACTGCCTTTGGCTCAGGTCATGATCCTGGAGTCCCAGGATCGAGTCCTGCACTGGGCTCCCTGCTCAGCAGGGAGTCTGCTTCTCCCTCTGATCTTCCCCCATCTCCTGCTCTCTCTCCCATTCTCTCTCTCAAATAAATAAATAAATATTTTAAAAAAATTTTTTAAAGATTATTTTTAATGCAGGATGGAGAATGATTTGGAGCAGGGCAAATGGAGATAAAGGGACATGTCCAGAGGCTGTTGTGGTAATCCAGGCTAGAAGTGTTGGTGGCCTGTATTTAGGTGGTGCATGTGGAATAGATCAGTTTGGGAGGTAGAATCAGCAATACTTTCTAATGAATGGGGTAATTCCCAGGCTTCTGGCTTGAGTAAGTGGTTGGATTGGTGATATAATGTATACACAAGGGAGACTTTAGAATACTGAGTTTGAATGTCTGTGAGATAACCAAGAAGAGGGTTAGAAATGTGAATCTGGAGTTCAAAGAGATATAAATGTGGGGGTTGTCAGCATAACAATTATGCTTAATCCCACTGGAATTGATTGACTCACTCAGGCAGGGGTCGAGAGGAGCAAGGTGAGCCATCTAAGGAGACCGAGAAAGAGAGGCCATGTAAGGGGAAACCCAGGAAATAGTGGGTTGCAAAAGCCCCAAGAAGATTTCACGAGAGGAAGTGGTCAGCTAGGTTGAATGTTGCAGACATAAAGAAAAAGTAAGATGAGCACAGAGAAGTGCTTTAGACTGACTGTACATGATGGTCTTGACCGGCATGGTTAAGGAGTGGTTGGAACAAATGCTAGATTATAGATCCAGAGCGAATGGAAGGGACACATTTGGGTGAAGGTTTGAAATTTCCTCCCACAATTTCTCTCTCCTAGTATCTAATAAAGGGATTTTTAAAAAGAGTAGAGTTTAAGTTAAAAAATTCACCAGTAGCTTCCAGACCAGGAAATGGACAAAAGCAAATGCAGTAAACCTCAAAGCTAGTAACTGAAGAAAGGAAGAGTGTATTTGAGGGTGGAGTGGAGAGACCATCATGGTTCAATTCTTATGGTCCTTGAAAAGACAAGATGAGATCAGAGAAAAAGAGGAAAGATTGTCTCTTGATATGAGGGATACTTTATCAGAAGGGAGCAAAGGTGTGTGCAGGTGTGGGTAGTTTTGTGGCTTTGTGGTGGGAAAATGAGGAAGTTCCCTTGGGTGGTGTCTCTTTTCTCAGTGAAATAGGAGATCATCAGCTGAGAAAGAAAATGGAAGGAGTATGGGAGGTTTGAAGAGAAAGAGGAAGGTATGAATTAACTATTTTAGAGCATTAGGAAATGAGTCTGTAGGTTCAGCCATTTGAAATTGATGTTAGTCCATTTTGGCTTACAAAAACAGCAGTTTCATATGGTTTGATACAATCCTTGAGAAATAGGGTAAATTTTTATTAGTTTGGATCCCCTAACTCAGTATTTGTTACCCTGAATTTATGTTTTGGAATCTTTAAAAATATAAATAGTGCATAGGAAAGTCCTCATACAAATACACTTTTGGGGGAAATGTTTAAATCACCTAGGCTTATGGGCACCTGGTGGCTCAGTTGGTTAAGCGACTGCCTTCGGCTCAGGTCATGATCCCGGAGTCCCGGGATTGAGTCCCACATCGGGCTCCCTGCTCAGCGGGGAGTCTGCTTCTCCCTCTGACCCTCCCCCCTCTCATGCTCTCTCTCTCTCAAATAAATAAATAAATAAAATCTTTAAAAAAAATAAATTAGCTAGGCTTATTTATGACTCTGAGTATTAACTTGGAGCCTTTAAGGCCCTTGGGATCCAGTGGTGAGCCAGACAGATGCAGTTTCTGCTTTTACAAAGCTTTAGTGGGAAAGGCAGATGCATAGACATTTGATCACATTTTATAACTCGTGCAATGAAGGACACAGCAGAGGTACAGGGTGACCTGAGAGCATCCCTGGGAAGCATCTCACCTGGGGAGAGGATAGAGTCCGGGCAGGCTTCTCAAAATATTTTTCAAACCTAAGATGTGGAGGGTACAAAATAGGCCAGTAGGAGATAGAGGAAGAAAGTTCCAGACAGAGGTGTGAATAAAAGCCTGTAGGATGGGGTACCTGGGTGGCTCAGATGGTTAAGCATCTGACTCTTGGCTTTGGCTCAGGTAGTGATCTCAGGATTGTGAGACCGAGCCCCATGTGTGGCTCTGTGCTCAACAGGGAGTCTGCTAATCCTTCTCCCTACCCCTCTGCCCTTCCCCCCCCCCAAACAAATAAAATCTTAAAAAAAAAAAAAAGCTTGCAGGTAAGAAGAGGCATCACATATCTCAAGAAATGGAGTCACTTCAGAAAGGCTGCAGTGGGTGTACTTGAAAATAAGGCTGGAGAGGGAGTTTGGGACCAAATCATGAAGATCTGTGTGAGTTCTTCATATAAGTTTTGGATGCTATCCTATCCATAGTAGGAAGCCTTTGAAGGATTTTTAAGATCACAGAGTATTTTACAAACCTACTTGCAGCATCCTTGAAAGTGTAGTTATTAATATCAGATAAAATAGTACATTTTTTTTAGAGATTTTATTTATTTGAGAGAGAGAGAGAGAATGAGAGAGAGAGAGCACATGAGAGGGGGGAGGGTCAGAGGGAGAAGCAGACTCCCTGCTAAGCAGGGAGCCCGATGCGGGACTCGATCCAGGGACTCCAGGACCATGACCTGAGCCAAAGGCAGTCGCTTAACCAACTGAGCCACCCGGGCGCCTAATAGTACATGTTTTTTAATAGGAGACCTGGAAAAAACCTCATTTACCAACATGCTAATTGAATGAAATACTTGGAAGTAAAGTATTATCTTTTTTCTTTTTAAGATTTATTTATTTACTTGAGAGAGAGAGTGCTAGAGAGCGGTGGGCGGGGGGGTAGATGCAGAGGGAGAGAATCTTCAAGCAGACTCCCCACTGTATGTGGAGCCTGATACCAGGCCAGATCTCACAACCCTGAGATCACGACCTGAGCTGAAACCAAGAGTTGGATGCTTAATAGACTGAGCCACCCAGGTGCCCTGTAATTTGTTAACTTTTAAAATTGCTATCCAAATGATAATGCGTTCTCACTTTTTGATATAAGTCACTTGCTCGCTCAAGATTGTCTTTTTTTCCCCCAAAACCATAGTGAATAGTTTTCAAAGCAGAATTGTATTTATATTATTCTAAGACTTCTTTTGCTATTATCTGAGAAATATTCTTACCTTTCTTTAAGTAGAAAATATAACTATTAATAAACTATTCAATTTGTGTTGGCAGACGAGGTAGAAAGACTGGAAAGGGATCTGGAGAAGAAGATAATGGAAACTGAAGAGCTTAGGAGTGAGCAGACAAGGTTCCTTGAGGAAATTAAAAGTCAAGATAAATTGAACAAATCACTGAAAGAGGAGGCCAGGTTACAAAAACAGAACTATGAAGAGATGGAGAGTAACCTGAACACAAAAAATGAATTGGTAAGCCTGTGTTTTACATTGCTCTGACTATATTCTCTTGAAATAGAGAATTCTTTATCCTTGGGTCTAAAAACAAAACTTTTTGACCATAGAATGGGGAAGATGTGGTTTAACAGAAATTTGTGCAGAAGTTTCTACAAATTGTAGTTGACCGTGCACTGCATGACATGGGTCCCCAAAGGACGAATACTATCTTCACTGCATTATGTGAAGTATGGTATCCAAAATAAAGGAGGACAGTGGAGCCCCACACTGAGGAGTTGGTCAGACTGCCCCTAGATGTTTGTATTTTATTTTTAACAACAACATTGTTGATGAGACTGTATATTGGGCAAAAACTTTTAGATGGCAAATTGGCAAAATTATCCAAATTTAAAGGGACATATTCTATGTTCTATATATTAGAAGTATTATATATACTTATTTAATATATAATAGTTTGATATACATTTCTAATACATTTTGTGGAAATTGTAGCAATAATGTATAAAGATATTATGTATCTACCCATATACACATACATACATGGACATTCACTACAATATTGTTTATATTAGTAAAATATTGAAAATAGCTGAAATGTCCCTTGGTGGATATCCATCTGGTAGAATAATTGTGTTGCTATTAAAATGAGGTGGAGCTGTATGTCCTGATATGGAGGTATGTCTAATCCATATTGCTAATGAAAAAAGCAAGCTATGAAACCGTATATCAAGTATGATGCTATATAGGTAGTATATATAATAGTATAAGTATATGTAGGGGAAAATAGTAGATATGCACCAAACTCTTGACAGTAGTTATTTCTGGGGAGTGGAATTATAAAGCACTTTCAAATTGCCATTTATGCATATCTGTAATGTTTAAATTTTATATAATTTGGCGTTATGGTTGAAATAGGAAGAAAAGATATTTTAAAAGAGATTTAGACAGATTAGATAGCTTATAATCAGAAGGTGCCAGACCCAGAGACTTCAGAGGCCTCAAGACCACGCCCTGTGAGGAGTGGCCAAAGCAACAGGGGTGTCCAAGCTGGAGAAGAGAGATCTAGTGAGCTATGACGATTATCTTCAGAGAGTCAAAGGACTGTTTCATGGAGAGGGACCAAAGTTACTGACCAGTATCCCATGAGATAAAATTAAGAAATGGCAAATAGAATTATAACAAAATTTTTCATTTAGTAATAACGAAGAAATTTCTAGGGGCACCTGGGTGGTTCTGTCAGTTGAGCATCTTACTCTTGATTTCGGCTCGGGTCATGATCTCAAGATCATGAGATGGAGCTCCACGCCCAGCATGGAGCCTGCTTAGGAATCTCTCTCTGACCCCTCCTCCCTTAACCCACCACCCTCTCCCACCTCCGGCTCGTGCATGTGCATGCGCTCTCTCGCTTTCTCTCCAGAAGAAAAAAAAAAAAAAAGAACTTTCTAATAACTGTCCTAAGACAAAATGTGGTAACTCTGGAATGGAGTTGCTGTCACTGAAACAGGCATATATGCTCAGGGCTTAGAGAAAAGATAAAAGACATTAGCTAGGGAGATGGACTAAATGACCTTGAAAGGCCTTTTCAACCCAGAGAATCTAATTCTGTAAAATAATTAGGTTACTTTCCTTGAAGGAAAAAGTAGCTATTGCTACTCTCTTCTTTTTTTTTTCTTTTGACAATTCTTCTTCTGATCTGTGCATAACTTAAGAGAATTTGATTTCTCATATAACTAATGATATCCTAGATAGTTCTCTTTCTTTTTGCACCTCCCTTTCAAGATGGGCATTCTGGCTTGAATGACTTGCTTTGTTGACAAGAATTCTGCTTAAGCACTTTTGTTTTTTAGCAAGGAAAAAGTGTTTCCTTCTCTGTGTAGAGATGGAAATTGTTACTTGAAATCTGAATACTTGACTACCTCTTTCTTGAGCTCTTCTTTGCCTGAGGAAAAAGATGATTTATACCTGGGGTACATGATGAAAGACAGGGCATCTTCCCCAGCTCTGTCAGTTAACTATTCAGAGCATTTTTGGGTTTCTTCATATGCCTCTTATTTGCAGGTAGTTTTCAAATATGTCAGCCTTATGCTGAAGGCATATTATATATGATGTTAATAATCTGATAATTATCAGTAGTTTTATATTATACATCTGTTGCTCTCTATTCCATAATTCCATAATGATGATTAATTAAATCATTGGAAACTTACATGACAATCAGTTTTATTTTAGCAGCCACCACTTAACATTTGTTTGTAAAATACAAGTATAGAGGCACCTGGCTGGCTCAGTTGGTGGAGTGTACAACTCTTGATCTTGAGTTCAAGCCCCATGTTGGGTGTCTGCCTACTTAAAAAAATAAGTAAAACTTAAAGTAAAAGAAAATACAAACATAAAAAACAGTACTTACTATGGTATTGTTATTTGTGAACATTTAATAAATTTTCCTGAGTTACTGATCTTTTTTATAACATAGAATCCATCTTTTATTACTAAGATAAAAAAACATAATTTCTATATGCGGACTCCCTGGTACATGTTAGTTAGCTCATTGAAATCCTGGGCAAGGGGTGCCTGGGTGGCTCAGTCCGTTGAGCGTCTGCCTTTAGCTCAGGTCGTGATCCCAGGACCCTGGAATCGAGCCCTGCATGGGGCTCCCTGCTCAGCGGGGAGCCTGCTTCTCCCTCTCCTGCTCCCCCTGCTTGTGCTCTCTCTCTGTCAAATAAATAAATAAAATCTTAAAAAAGGAAAAAGAAAACCTGGGCAAAATGTTGCATCTTTTGACTTTGCACTATCCCAAATTTATGCATTATTATAGTTGCTAATATTCTTTTTTCTACTTATAATGTTGATATGTTTGTGCTGTGAATAAATGTTTTATAAATTGTCAACAGTTTTTGCTGGGTTTATTTTCAGTAACTATTTTTGGTTAGAAGACATTGCTCTTCTTTATGTCATTGTTATTTTTATCATTAACCATTTAAAAACATATTGACATATGAAGTTAGTATATATTTATCATAACAAATGTAGACAATACAAATGTATACAGTAGAAAATGAAGGTCTCACTCTTTCCCTTCCCTATTCTCTGGGTGTATATAATCCTTTTTAAAAGTTTTCTATGCTTAAATGTATGCATATAGTTATGTAATATATATGTAATTAAATATATGTACCTTCAAATATTTTGCGATAAAAAAGAACCTTACTATATTTTTTAATTCTGCATCTTATTTTTTTACAAAGCAGTGTATATATCATAGCTCTCCAAGTTAAAAAACATACCCACACACTGCACACACACATATACACACATATAAGTCTTTTTTATTTTTTTCAAAGTCTATATTGTGTTGCATTATATGGATACACAATAATTTATTTAACCTACTCTTATTGATGAATATTTAGGTTGCTTCCATTTTTTTATTAGAAACAATACTACAGAGAAAATCTTTGTAAATATGTACTTATGCATTCATAATAGTAATTCCTTGGTATAAATCACTACAGGTTGGGGTGCCTGTCTGGCTCAGTCAGTAGAGCATGTGACTCTCAGTCTCAGGTTCATGAGTTCAAGCCCCACATTGGGGGTAGAGGTTACTAAAAAAAATAATAATTTTAAGAAATCACTACAAGTGAATTACTGTGTAATATGCATTTTAAATTTTGGTAGATACTAAAAGCATATACTTGCTTTATGCTTCTACAGCAGTGTGTGAAAGAACCCAATTCCCCACTTGAAATTATTATCCTGAACTTATAAATAGGAAAAAAGTGGACTCTCATTGCTTTAATTTCACTTTTTTTTAGTTGTTGGAGAGTTAGTATTGCATATGTATTTTTTAGCTATTTTATAGTCTTTAAATTTCTTTTTTTAAATCAACAGGCTATTTTTTATTTAAATTCAATTAATTAACATATATTATTAGTTTCAGAGGTAGAGTTCAATGATTCATCAGTCTTGGATAACACCCAGTGCTCATTACATCCCTGTGCCCTCCTTAAGGTCCATCACCCAGTTACCCCATCCCCCCAACCCCCTCCCCTCCAGCACCCCTCATTTTTTAAATTCATGTTGTTTCACCTGTTTTTTCAGTACTCCAAAAGACTATTCTGTGTTTCAAAAAGAATTCTGGATCTTATTCTAAGAGCCTACAAATGAAAAATATTTTCCATTATCTTCTGCAGAATATCTGGTGATAATATCATCTACAGTTATATAATGCTTTCCAGTTTCATAAAGTAACTCTTCACATAGTAGGTCATTTAACCTATAAAAGAAACGTAGTAACATTAAAGTAAAACTTCTGGTGCCATTTAACTATAATATTCCCCCTCTTCTCCCACCAACAAATATTAATTTAATTAACTTTAATGTTAATATTACTCTTGTCTTTTTGCAAGTTATTGAACTCCTGTTCTTCAGTGTCCTCATTTTTAATATGAGGATGAATTACCTGTTCTGCCAGCCTCACAGAGTTGTGAGGACTAAATAAGGTCATGAATATGAAAACAATTTGAATTGAATTAAGCTAAGTAATGGAAGGTGGTAAATCTATAACATAGAATGATGATAAAATGTGTGTCCATATAAGAATGGTGCAGGTTCTAGTAACATTATCTTCCTAAGGTAAGTTGTCAGTAAAGAGCACCTTCTATTACTACAGCTTAACTCTCCAAAGTTCTCCAGGTGATGGCCTCTGTTTGCTTTTTTCTCCTTTTAGCCCTTGTCTTGGTTTCTTGCAGATCATTTTCTGCCGATTCTTTATTCTTCCTTAAAGGTAGTTCCTTCAGGGCTGAATTGCACACTATGTTTTTCATGGTTTGCATGATAACTTGTATTAATATGCTATGTACATCTTAAGTTTTGAAACTGGCTTGCCTTCTCAAGAAATGTGCTTGTGTGTGTATGTGTAATTTTTTTAATGGTTGTGTACATAGGACAGTGTATTTGAATGTGAGGGAAAGAATTTGTATCATGTTTCTTACCGGTAAATATGTTAACTGCAGTCAACTCTTGATTATCCACAGCTAATACTGTAAGTAGCCTGCTTTTCAGGTCCTTTGACTCCTAATTTGCTCTCATTTTTGCATTTCTTCAGCAGACATTTATTGAATGCTTACTAAATGCTAAGGCTAGTACTAAAAAGACACAAAGGTAATATAAAAATGCACAGAGTATATATTATTTGCCTGCAGAGACCAAGCCATACGTTGTCCATGGTTCCAGTCGCATTTGCCTTTGTTTGGCCCTACTGCCAATGATCTTTGGGGAGAGAAACCCGAGATTAGTTGATGCTGTTGATTATGAGTTGCTTTCTTGAGATTCAGGGACTTAAGAGCATTCAGTGAAAGCATCAGTGTGGGTAATGTGCTGGACACCCTGCAGCAGGACATCAAAGGCAGCATCGTATAATAGATGAAGTGTTAGATTTGAAATCAGGAGACTTGTAATTGAACTCTGCCTTTTCACTACGAGCTCTGTAACTGGGCAAGTTATTTAACCTCCTGGTGCAGCTTTTACCATTTCATAGGATAGCTGTTAGGAGTCAATGAGATAGCACACGTTCTGGCATATGTGAGTACTTGATCAAGATTACCTGTCATTCAGGTTAGCATTACTTCCACTTGGACGGATAATCAGGAGATGACTGTAAGCTAAACTGTGCACGACTTTGAGTTCCTGGGCCTTGTAAAATGTTCATGTTTGTTTATGTTTTATTCTCTTCAGCTTGCATTTTCATATTAATGAAAATTTTCTGCATGTTTTTTGTCTGGTATCTACTATCTGACGCTGTCAAAAAAAAAGGTGAAAATCACTTAGTGGACCTTTGAAATGAACTCACAGGATTGGTTCAGTAGGAAGGTGGCTGATAGTGGTAGTTAATAAAATATTTAGCTTCTGCCACTAATCTAATATGTAACTTTTGACAAGACAGTTCACCGATCTAGGACTTAATTTCTTTATTTGTAATTCAAATAATTAAATTGGATGATCTCTTTTCTTCTAGCTCCAAAAATTTTTAAGAATAAGTAAAAAGCTGTAATTATAGTAGAATTACTTTATTAAAAATTTAATATTATATATTGGGATCTGATTGACCTTATTCACATCCTTTATCCTCTATTACAAAAATACTGTTCAGAACACTGGGATACTACAGCAACAAGTACAGTTAAAACCAACCTCTTATTTTCATCCTTCTCACTCCTTCTTGTGATTCCTTTGTAATTAATCCCAAATATCATCTCTATCCATAATTTGAAGCTATCATTAACATTGCAGAGTAAGTTAAGTAAATTAGTGTTAATTATTGAAAAATCAGGAAGCAGATACTTAATAGTGTACTTAAAAATAATGGATACAGAATTACTTTCATGTTTGGATAAAGCAAATTTAAATGATTTTTTTAAATCTTTATTCCTTGTATCCTGAAATAGCATATAAACTTCAAAGGTCTTTTATGTGATCTTTTATGAAGTGATAATTTTATATTGCATTCTTTATAATACTTTAGAATCAAGGTAAAATACTGTGAATGTTCTGCTATTTGCTGTGGGGTTTAAAACAATCTAATTATTAGTTATGATGGGAACTTGCCGTGCCATTGTACCTTTATACTAACTTACTGACACTATATGTGTTTCATATCAACTTGGGGCTGTAGCTAAAACAGAAGACCATGGAACTAATGCGAGCATGTCAGAAACAGTATGAGATGGAACAGGAATTGGCCTTTTATAAAATTGATGCCAAATTTGAGCCACTAAATTATTACCCATCAGAGGTGAGTTTAACTTTTATTTATTTATTTATTTATTTTAAGATTTTTTAAATTTATTTGACATACAGAGAGAGAGAGCGAGAGAGAGAGAGGGAGAGAGCACAAGCGGGGGAGCGGCAGGCAGAGGGAGAAGCAGGCTTCCTGCATGAGCAGGGAGCCCGATGTGGGGCTCGATCCCAGGACCCTGGGATCATGACCTGAGCTGAAGGCAGTGGTTTAACCAACTGAGCCACCCAGGCGCCCCTAACTTTTATTTATTTATTTACTTAGAGTTTAACATTTTAGTAATCCAAAGTTAAAGCCAACAGAGAGTGGAGTGGGGTAAGGTGGATGATAAAAATGTTTAAGAGACTTTATCAGTAACCATTCCACTTTCTTGTTATGAGGGCATCAGCAGAGTAAACATTGTGGTTGAATCAGTGAATTTTTTGGTTCAGTATGTTAGAGCAGCATCCAAAAGAGGTAAAAAACCCCAAGAGAATCTGTGTGATTCCAACCAATAGTTCATAAAAAAAATCAATTACTAAAATTTATTAGACTGAGATTTTACTTACATATCAGCTAAGAAACCAAAATAAAACACCTAAATTTCTGATTTGAGAGATTAAGCAGTGCTATTAATCACAAAACTGTAGGCAGTTCTTTAATCAACCAATCTAACCCCACTTTTTGGGGATAGGAATTCTTAGAGACCACTTTTTGTTTTAGTTCTTTTTTGGTATATTAAGAGTAAGATAAAAAATGGTATATATTTTTCAACTTCTAGGCATGTAGGATTAATATTTAGGCAATTCTGTGATACGTTCTTCACTAATAAAATGAATAATATCACTTGGCTGCTTAGAAGTTACTTATTGAACCATAAATATTTACTTATTTTGCTTTTAGTATGTTGAAATTGATAAAACCCCAGATGAAAGCCCTTACATTGGCAAATCCAGATACAAGAGAAATATGTTCACTACAGAGAGTTATATCATTGCAAATGCCCAGACAGTAAAGATCAAGAAGATGGAGCCAGACGAAGGGGAACAACTCAGAAATGAGCATGTGAACTTGGGAGCCCATACATCACTGGACATACAACTGGAAGACAAAGAAAAAAAAATAAGTGCAGGTTAACAAAAGTTATTTTAAATTCTTTTAAAAATATAAAAAGATTGAATATATAGGCAAATTTTGTTTTATAATTCTTTTCATTAAACATGCCAAAGGTATTTATTTTGTTGTTTACATGAAAAGCCTAAAAAAAAAGTAGTGATTCATTGAGCAAATCATTTTTTAATGATTCCTGTTATGGTTGAAAATGGGGTTCTTGATAGTAATTTGGTGGCAGCATGTCCAGAGGATCCAAGAATTCTTAAATCTTGACGTGCCAGCAGGTCTTTCTCACTGTTGGAGCTGCACATTCAAAGATATAATTGGTCATAATTGTAGCAAGTACCACTTTACTGATTATTATGCATGTAGCCAAAACCTAAAGCAGTGCTTTGGATAAGCTGGATCAGTGCACCCTCCTTAGGCTTGGGCCTAAGACCAGCTTCTGACTCTTACCAACCTGTCCCAAAACATCTAATGGAAAGGATCTTACCACTTCCTGGCAAGTCATAAAGAAGAAGAAGTCAATCCAAGAGGGTTCTTAGAGACCCTGCCAATGGCATACTCTAAATCTGCTTACCCAGTGAGCTCCATGGATATGGAAGAAGAAAGCAGATCTGAGTTTATGTATCCCCCTAGTAATTGTGGCCCATTGTGGGGCTTTCACCAATCCAGTGAAGCAGCTCATCTTCCCTTGGTTGGTAGCTAAATGGAAAACATGGAAGGCCAGTAGAAAGGTTGGCTTGGAGAGGAGTTGAGAAAAGAGACTGAGTTGTCTATCTCATACACCCTATACAAAGTTCTGGAAGAGGAAAGCAGAAATAAATCAGATATATGTGTAGACTAGCTTCAAGGGTCTCATAGTTTTATAGGAGGCAGGGAGGGAGGGAAGGAGAGAAATTGGAAATTTGAGATAGAGAGTAATTGATTTGAGATCACCCCCAGCTGGAAGACAATGTTCAGTGGTGAATTTCTTGATACCAAGCCCTATCATAAAGTAATAACCTCTAACACAGAGTTTTTGTAATAGCTTGAACCTAATTATAACTTAGTGACACCTAAATGCATATTTACCAATAAATTCTTATTCTCTCAGAAGAGTTCTAGTGTTGGATGTATCAAGTAAAGCCCCTTTTATGTTAAGAATTTTATGAATAAAATGATCAATTATAGTTCTATAGCATATCAAAAAAGTATTCTAGAGATTAACTGAGTGGAAAACTGTCATAAATTACTTTTCTTTTTTTTTAATTTCTGTGATCTATACCAACAATTTAATTGGGAGGAGGAGGTTATTGTGAAAATCTGGTAGAAATTTGAGAATTCAAGATTTTTCTTGTGTGTGTCTGTGTTCATGGTTTTTAAATCTGCAGCACAAACTCGACTATCAGAACTACATGATGAAATAGAAAAGGCAGAACAACAAATTTTAAAAGCTACTGAAGAATTTAAACAGCTGGAAGAAGCTATACAACTTAAAAAAGTACGTAAAAGCCAAGTAGCAATGCAGGAGGAAATGAAAAAAATGAAATGTGTTTTCTTCCTTCATAACCATGTTAAACAAATTTTAAATCAGTGCTGCCTAATTAATTACGGAGTAACAGTTTTCAGCATCAGTTGTGGTTCCAGTATTTTCCAGTTACACTTTCCTTCCATTCATGATGATATTCTATTAACATTTTATAAAGCAAATAGAAATAAATTACTTATAGTTTATGTAAAAAGAGGTGTTCTGTCTACTCTATTATGAAAGTGTCTACTTTACCCAGGGAGGTTGATGCCTCCTGTTATATGGTTCTAATTTACTTAAGCACTACCCACCTTTAAGATCCTGGGACCTAGATTAAGAGTCAGAAGACATCTTTACTATACATGCACATTATCAAACACAAGCAGCAAAAATGTAAATGATATAAAATATGGTGAACAAAAAGATGGAGGTGTTACACTCTCAGAAATTACCGAAGGATGTCATGAAGAAATAAACAGCTCAAACCCATGATGTAATTGCATAGGGAGTATTTAAAAAGGAAGTATCTTGATAGTTTTTAAGTGTGTAGAAGGTTTTAGTTATTTGCAACTTTTAAAAATCAGTATTTCAAAATTATGTTGGTAACTGCATTCATACCATAGTAGGTAAAACAAGAATGTGAAGTCCAAATTATAGATTCTTTCAAAAGATACACTATATTATGATTTTAAAATTATATAGTAACTAGAAATTGACTCAAGTTTATTGGAAGCTTACTATATGCTAGTCCCTGACTGGGCTGGACCCTGAGTGATGAATAAAACAGGTATATTTCCCTCCCACATGGACAGGAAATAGGCAATGAACAAGCATTAAAAAAGTAAAAAGGAAATATAGTTAAACAACATGTGTGTTGTAGGAAAAAAATAGTTAGGAAGGCAATAAAAAGGATATAATTTAGATTGTGGATCCATAAAGGCCTCTCTGAGGCGGTGACATTTGGGCTGAAACCCAAAGGATGTGAGGAGCCAGTGATCGAGTATTCCAGGCAGTGGGTGCAAACACACTAAAGATTTCTCTGCCGAGGGAGGGAGAGTGTGTGGAAGATGAAGTCAAAGATTATGCCAGGCTTCATGGGCTGTCCTATGGTAGAGAGTAAGGCATTTGAATTTTAGTCTGAAGGTAATGGGAAGCTTTTGAAGGACACTAGGTAGTAGAATGACTGATCCTGTTTGTATTTTTATAAGGTCACTCTGGCTACTGCCTGAGAGTGAAATAGGGTGAGGGAGACAGAAAGAATGGAGATGGGTGAATCTCCTATGGGGCTATTGTTCAGTACAGGCAAGAGATGGTAATGGCCTGAACTAGGGGGGCGACGGTGGATGTGGAGGGAAATAAACTGATTGTCAGCAAAATTTGGCAGGTGAACTGATCAGACTTAAAAAATGAATTGAGGGGTGCCTGGCTGGTTTAGTTGGAGGAGCATTCGACTCTTGATGTTGGGGACATGAGTTCAAGCCCCACATGGGGTGCAAAGATTACTTAAATAAATAAAAACTTAAAAAAATGGATTGAAAGTGGGAGATGAGGTAGAGGGAGCCATCAAGAATGATTTTAATAATTAAAAAAAGAGTGTTTTATAATAATGTCGACCAAAGCTTATATAGGTAGATCGATAGATGTAAATAATGTACCTAATTTTTAAATAAATGGATGTTTACAAAATGTGCTTGAAAAGTTATTTTATGAGTACATATAAGCCTAAATTTTCATTACACTATTAATTTGCTTGACATGCTCATAACAAGGGTAAGTGCTATATAAAGTTGACTATTAATATTATGGTTATTATTGTTAATAATTTACAAGTTGCTTATACTGGAATGACAACTTCATTTTTACCTGCTTTTATGAGTTTTCATAAACTTTTATAAAGTAAGATTTTCTACATGTAATAAGCATAAAAGTATAAAATATTAATGGAATGCCTAGATGACTTTAACGTTTTACTTTTATTAAAAAAACTGGTAGAGCACAGAATACCTTTTTAAATTTTAGAAGTTTTCTTTAAAATTGTAAATCACTGTTGCTATCCTCTGTTAATTGTGTGTTGGGGTATGGGGGGTGATTAGGTTTCAGAATCGGAGAAAGACCTTCTTTTCAAGCAGTTGAGTGGTAGGATACAGCTTCTCAATAAATTACGCCAAGAAGCTATGGATCTAGAAACGCAGATGGAAAAGCAAAGCCAAGAAATTGCTGAAAAGCAGAATGAAATCAAGGACCTGCAAATAGCCATCGATAGCCCGGATTCCAGAGACCCAAAACATGTAAGTAAATGAAGAGATTTGGGCTTGTTCTATAGGGACTAGAGTATCATTCCATCTAGAAATTATGTCTCCTCATTTTTAGCCTCAGAGTTCTTTCTGAAAGTCTTTTAGTTTGATGCACAAATTTGAATAATACATATGTTTATGTATGCGTGTATGTCATATGTATCTGTGTATTATATATACATGTCTGTATATACATAACATATGTACATATATACTTATATATAGAAGTATATATATCTCTGTGTTGAAAACAAAACCTAAGGCTTGAAGGAGATAGCTTTCAGTAGAATGATAGATGCATGGTACACTTAACTTTTTTTAAGTGGCTGTTGAATATCATTATATTTCAAATCAAAAGAAACCTGCTCCATGGTGCTGTCTAAACCTCTTACCCTTTCTCTTTTCTTGCTTTGTTTTCTTAAGAGCAAGGTGGTGAGATGAGAGAGCTGAAAGGGGTTTAGAGTCCTTTCTCTACTTCTTCTTTAATCCTTTATGCAAATATTACATTAAAGTTATTTGTTGTTTCATATTGTTTTGTTTTGTCCTTAAAAAGGAAACATTTCTCTAGAGCGTGTCTTCCTAATATGTGGCCAGAGGTGGTCTGGTGGCTGCAGGATGGAGTTAGGTTCTTGTCTCTGTCTCTGAGAAGTCTTACTAATGGCTTACATTTTACCCAATATTTGTAAAAATATTAGTAAAAATATTTCCTGCATATTTCACTGCTATACTTTGAATAATGTTATTTTTTAAAAGAACTTTAAAATCTCTGATTTAAGAGAAATCATAGAATTTAACATGGTAAGGACAATGCACTATCATTACTTTAAATACTGGTCAAGTTACTTGGTTATCCCTTTAAACATTTCAATAATGTATCGTGGGTAAATTTTTTTTTTGCAGGCCAGCTAATTTTGACAAAAGGTAACCTTATCATTCACAGAAATAAGGTCTTTTCTAACAAAAGCTTAAGTCTAAATATTAAAATTGAAACTAAAAGAGGACTTGATTACTTTAAAGAATTTTCGTTACATGAAAAATTAGATTTTAAGTAATGTGTAATATGGTCAGTAATATCTTGCCTTATTGCACTAAGTTGTTTGGAAGTCTGCCACCCTATGTAGGGCTCCTAAGGACAGGAACTATATCCTACTGCTATCTGTATTCCCCAGGGCCAGCCCTATGTTTATGAGCGTTTGCATCTGGGAAGGTAGGAAGGAACCCAGTGTATAAGGCACAACCCAAAGCTCCTTTGCTGCTCCCTCCAGTACTGTGATCTCTGAGTCTAATTAGAATGTAGATTGTATGTTTGCTTTTAACAAATGAGTTTGATATTCTTGGTAGAAAGGGAGCCTAATCCTCATGGATTTCTATAAAGAATTACACACAGAAAGGAGTTAAATGAGAAGTAGGAATGGCATCCACATTTTGAAAGGCAGTCTCTGTTAGTGGGGATGAAACATACAAACCCGACTTAAGGTTCCTTTTTGGTATTGTTAAAACAACTAATGGTTCATTTTTAAGGTTATAGCTTTAGTCAAAGCACCAGAGGGTGTCTCTTTAATTTGTTCACCCAGAGGGAACATTTTTTTCTAGTTTGCACAAAGTCACCTTATTGGCTAATGTTAGGCTCCTGTTAGGCATCATATTCTACAACATGTGAACATTTTAGCAAAAGGGAAAGAATCAAGTGTGGTATCCTGCATATTTTTCTATAGATGGAGACAGATTTTATCCAGTTAACTTTTATTATCTAATCAGATAAAGTGCCTTTCTGAATAGCAAATAGAATTTAAAAGTAAAAGCTTGAGAGATTAGAAAACATTGTGACTCTGAGATATGATGAGAACAAACACATTAAGTGCTAATGAAGTCTTCCATGTTGGGGTTTTTGCATATACTGGTGAGGAACTTCATCACAGCATCCATAGGATTGGTGATTTTTTTTTTTAATTTGCAGAAGATGAAAATGTGATTTTAAAAGACTGATTTCCTAAATTCACCCTTTTAGGAAGAGGCTGAGCCCACGCTGTGCTACGGCAGTGACCCTTTACCCACAAGAGAATTCAAGGTCTACAGAGATTAATTATTTTTAAAATTAGCTCAGAGTCAAACCAGTCAAGTTTTCAACAAACAGAAGCATTTAACAAGGTTTCAAAAGGAAAAAGTACTATTTAAAAATCAAATCCCATTTTACCTATACAAAATGTACATAGCTAGAGGCACAAACACCACAGCAACACACATAATAAAGGAAGATTTCTGTTGTTCTTCCCTACCTGGCAATGCCCTGTGGAAGCGAAAGGCAACTCTGTGGGCAATCAGCCTGTAGTAATCTGTTGCAAAGGTTGTGCGTGATTGGCCCTTGAGAGCTTCCTGTGTTGTGATTTAAAGCACGGGGGTGGGGCCTGCCTCAAAGCTTGCTCGTGATTGGACGAGCTGGGCTGCCGCTCACTCTCTGCCAGGAATGTGGTTTGAAGCTCAGGGAAGTTACTGAGGCTCGGAGGCGCTTACAAAAATGTGGCTGTCAGAGAGGGAAGTGCACGTGAATTTGAAAACAGCTTTAGAAAGCCCTCCCGCCCACAATTTCCCTGTCTCAACGGCTCAGTTTTAACAGGACAAATTTTAAGTTAAGGTATGATGATTTTCTCTCTCTTTGTGCAAAAGACTTGAAAGGAGGAGGAGTCAGAGATGTAAGTTCCTGTTTTTATAACTCGTTTGTGAGCTCCATGGTCGTGGAAATAGCAGAATGTACTTTTGTTCCCATGTGCTTAATGCAAATCATTGGCATATTGAGCCTTTTTTGGGTCTGCGTGGAAAGAGGTTTCAGTGGAATTTTTAATGGTGAATTTTAAAGGTTTGATGATAGAGACATGAAGGCAGCTTTTTTTTTTTCTTTCGTGAGCCATAAAAATCCTAAATTTACTTAGAATTTAAGCTGTTATCTGCAGTTACCTTCCCAGAAAGATTTCAGATGGGTATTTGGGGAGGGCAGGGAAAGAAGAATTTTGAAAACCCCATTAAGTTTTACAATAGTAAAACAAAAACGTTCTGAGCAGGCTGCTATTCACTTGTTCCTTAAAAATGAAGGGACTTTTCTTTCTTGTCTTTGGAGGCAGCAGAACATCTAAAATATTCTTTTATAATAAAATGAGTATTAGACTTGAGAGCTTGGAGTTGGTTCTGACTGTGATGGAGTTGTTTCTCCTGATAATTCTCTCTCGGTTTATTGTTCTGTTCCTCTGATCTTGTGGGGGCAAACTTGAGCCATGAGGGTGTGAGTGAGAGGGAATTGTCTCCACAGGAACAGTTGCCTCTGAGAAGACCTGGGCAGGTCATTGGTAGATCTGGGATTCAGTTTCCTCACATGTAAAAGGAAGGGTTAAACTAGACCATTGGTTCTCAGGTTTTTTCCCCTGAGCACACCTGAAAATATAATCTAGTCTTTTCAGTTTACAGTAGCTCCCAAATGCGTGGCTGTCAGGGTGTGAGTGGGTATGTGAGTATGGAAAAGCTCTGTTTTCTACCAGGGGCGTATGTCCTAATAGAGGAGTGTGCCTCCAGAGGGCCCTCCATCTTGAGAATCACTGGGCTGAATGGTTTTGGAGGTTTCTCTCAGCCCCCAGTTTATCGAACTGAAAAATAAAATGTTTCTTTGTATAAGGAATTGAAAATAAACCTCAATTCCAAGTAAGTATTTCTTCCATGTCCATTTATCCCTAAGAAACCTTTTTTTAAACTACATGCTTTTTTGATTAAAAAGGTATGACTATTATAAAATTTTTTAAATATTAAACATATTCATAAAAAAGAAAAGATAATCCTTCTACCCAGATATAATTTCTTTAAAAAAATTTTTTTAAAGATTTTATTTATTTATTTGACAGAGAGAAAGCACAAGCAGGGGGAGCGGCAGGCAGAGGGAGAGGGAGAAGTGGGCTCCATCCCAGGACCCTGGGATCACGGCCTGGGCCCAAGGCAGACGTTTAACCCACTGAGCCACCCAGGAGCCCCCCAGATATAACTCTTGTTAACATCTTGGAATATAGTCATTTTCTATGGATATGTGTATATATAATTAACCTTTTTGAGACCTTGTTAGAAGACACATGCAGCGCCAGGACCACTGAACTTGGCTACATTACCTCGTAGGTGTGCCCTTGGAAAAATCATTTAAATTTAACCTCCTTGATTTTCAGTTTTCAGATCTAGGAAGTAGAGATGATTTCCAGATCAAGTTACCATGAGATTTAAATGAAAACTACCTGTGTGAAAACAACACAGGGCCTGACACAGACTCAAATTGTTACATTTTATTTTCCATTCTTCCTTTAGAAATGTTAAGCATTATTTTTTTTTTAAAGATTTTTAAATTTATTTTTTGACAGAGAAAGAGACAGCAAGAGAGCGAACACAAGCCAGGGGAGTGGGAGAGGGAGAAGCAGGCTTCCTGCTCAGCAGGGAGCCCGATGTGGGGCTCGATCCCAGGACCCTGGGACCATGACCTGAACCGAAGGCAGACGCTTAACTGACTGAGCCACCCAGGCGCCCCACATTATTATTATTTTTAAAAGAGTTTAAAGAACTCAGGATTTTGTTGATTTCTTTTTCTTTTCAATTCAGTGCCATATGAAGGCTCAGAAAAGAGGTAAAGAACAACAACTTGACATTATGAACAAGCAGTACAAACAACTTGAAAGCCATTTGGATGAGATACTTTCTAGAATTGCCAAAGAAACTGAAGAGATTAAGGACCTTGAACAACAGCTTACTGAAGGTGAGAATTTAAGTATGATTTAAGGTAAATCAGTATTTAAATTTAAACATTTAAGATGTTTCAGTATTAACAAAAGACAACTGACACCCTGTCAGGCATTAATCCAGATATTAGCTGAATATGCTTCAGCTGTTCATATTAGTGTTTGATAGGGAAATCTTTGCAGAGTACCCAAAAATGTTTACTAGAAGTAAACATTTTTTCAGTTTTAGTTTTGTTGCATTGATTTCCTAGTGAGTCAGGTCATTGCATTTGGTAGGCAAGAAGTCAGTACATGATCATGATCAGCTCTGGCATGTCATTGTCTTCTTCCAAAGCCTATGATCCTTTCAGGAACAAAGAGCTCATTGACACCAGGGCGTTCAGTGTCTAGTTCTAAGGGGAGTGTGGAAAGAATTTTATGATCTACATTTGCAATGCAGATTTAGACTGTGACATTGCCCTACTAGTGGAAGAGGAAGATAATAGAGGTTGTAGTGGTGAGGGCCTAGGATGGGGTAAAAAGAGCCCATTACCGTTTTGCTATTATCAGCTGTGTGACAGGTTATTTCTATCTCAGTCATTAGTTGTTGGGAAGATTAAATGAGGTGGTGTTCATAAAGTGCCTGGCACATAGTAGGTACCCAATATATGGTTTGGGGTTTTTTGTAAGTCTTCAAGTTACATGTTTTTGCTGCCAGTTTTGGATTAGTCTTGTATGTTGAATGGTTTTGTTTTGTGTATGTAGCAGCAAGGACTCACAGTTTTATTGAACATTTTTCATTTTATTTGGAAATTTATTTGGAAAAATTTATTTTCATTATTTTATTTTAAACTTCTTACAGCCCAAATTGAGCATTTTATAAGCAGTGCCCACTGAATAAACTGTTTTTATTGTATAGCTAGTTAATACTACTGTACTATGGGTAATAGAGGGAAAAACAATCATTATGTCTTGAAAAAGAAAAACAAGATGGTACAAATCATTGAAAGCTTGGAATTTCTTTCTTAGCCAGTAACAAATAACTAAGGAGACTAAATGCAGTAATTCTATATCTTGAAAACATTTTCTCACATACATTATCACCTTGCCTTTTTCCATTTTGCGTAGGACAAATAGCAGCAAACGAAGCACTGAAGAAGGATTTAGAAAGTGTCATCAGTGGGTTGCAAGAATACCTGGAGACTGTCAAAGGCCAGGCCGCTCAGGCCCAGAATGAGTGCAGAAAGCTACAGGATGAGAAAGAGACATTGCTGCAGAGATTGAGTGAGGTCGAGCAGGAGAGGGACCAACTGGAAATAGTGGCCATAGATGCAGAAAATATGAGGAAGGTATGATTTATTTCTTCTTGCCTGTTTCCTCAGCCTCAGAAGTAGGTGATGTCCAAATTAAGTTAGCTAAGGAAGTTAGCAACCCTGTAATTTGAAGTGACAGAAAGTATTAATGGCTACTTAATGGAGTTTTTCCCTTTAGTAGTGAAACACTTGGAATCATTATTTTTCTTTTACTAAGAAGAGGAAGATTATTCTAGCTGAGTTTTTATCCCTGATAGGTGTTGTTATCAAAGAACTCTAAAAAATAGGAAATTGTAGCTATTACAGTTGGTATATTAAGTGTTCATATTTTGTTATTTGTGCAGCAAAATTAAGCACAACATAATTTTCTTATTCTTCTTGTTATTCATAATTTTAACTTTGTTTTACAAAAAAAGACACAGTGTTCTAAATTATACCTTCCATACCTGGTTTGTTGCCATTCATTTGGAGATTTCACTTGATCTGTTTTAGTTGTTTGACAAACTCTGTCATGCATGAGAACCCAGATTCCCAAATTTCATCCCCAGTAGGACTTACTATGGAAGTTTGAATTCATATATTTAATATTATGAAAATTCTCAGGCAGATAAAAATGACAAAAATTATATTTAACACCATGTACTCTAAACTCAGCTTAAGAAATAAAACACTGCAGATATATTTGAAACCCTCTGCGTACCTCCATACAGAGGTAAAGAATCTTGAATATACTTAATTCCCTGTATCTCTTTTATTATATATGTGGCTATCCATAAGCAATATGTAGCATTGTTTTGCATAATTTTAAGATTTATATAAAAGCTATCATTGTGTGCATATCCTTTGACCACTTTTTTTCTTCCTGTTTCTGTTTTGGGGAATTATACATATTGATACATATAGCTCTAGTTTGCTTATTTTTATTAGTGTATATAGCATTCCATTATAGGTACTACCACAGATTTATTGCTTATTCATTCTCCTCTTGGAGGACATTTAGGTGGTTTCCTGTCTTTTGCTATTACGATGTTGAGTGTAACATCCTTGCATACATCTTGAGCATGGGGACTATATTCAAGATTGGAACATAAGTCAGAGGGTATGTGCCCCCCTCAACTTCACTAGACATTGTCAAATTACCATCCATAGGGATTCAGTCAGTTTCTACTCCAACCAGCAATGTGAGCACCACCATCCTTGCCAACACCTTAGTGTTATCTGACTTTTATTTTTTAAGCTTTTATTTTGAAATAATCTTAAATTTACAGGAGAGTTGCAAGAATAATACAAATAACACTGTACCATGCATTCAGAGTCATCAATTAATATTTTGCTACATTTGTTTTCTCTTTCATATATAATTTTTACATAAAATTTTTTCTAACCGTTTGAGAATTAGTTGTGGACATCACCCTCCTTAGCTCCTAAATATTTCATCATGTGTTTCCTAGGAATAGGGACATTTTCTAACATAGAGTATCTAACACAGAATAATTAACACATTCAGGAAATTTAACATTTTGTCAGTCTTAGTGTTTGCCATTCTGCTGAGTTTGAAATGGTATCTTTTTTTATTATGAAAATTTTACATTTACAAGGAACGTTAAAAGAATAGTTCAGTGAATATCTGTGTGTTCTCCTAGATTCAAAAAATATCTTGCTCTATTTGTTTTTTTCCCCTTGAGTTATTTGAAAGTTGCAAACATCCCTTAAGTACACATCTCTTAAAAATTAGGACATTTTCCTACATCACTACAATGCCATTATTATACCTAGAAAAATTAATAATTCCCTAATGTCATCTAATATCTGAACCGTATTCAGGTTTTCCCAGTTGGGCCAAGAATGTCTTTTGTAGCTGTGCATGTAGATGTGTGTGTAGAAACCAGGCTAACGGTCCTGTAGAGTGTCCCACATTCTGAATTTGTCTGTTGTTTTCTCATGGTTTAACTTGTTCCTCCCTGCCCCATGTAAACTCATATCTTGTTATAAACTGCATTTTCCCTTGATTACTGAAGAGATTGGGCCCCTTCCCTTTGTTTATTTGCTATTCAGGCTTCCTCTTCAGTGAATTCCCTATTCATATTTTGTGTCCATTTTTCTATTGGATTGTCTTTCTTTTTCTTAATGATTTGTAGGAATTCTTTATATATTCTGGACCTTTGTTGGTTATATGTGGAATTTGCATTTTGCAACCCCAATAATTCAGATGCCAAGTGGTTTTTGGACCACCCCTCAGAAATCCTTCTATAGAAGTTCTCGTCACGAGACCCTCCTTTTTAATTTAGAATAGTTCAGTCTAGTTCTTCAAGATCCCAAATAAATAGATAAAAGCTGAAATAATCATAAAAAGCAGACGGACTAAAATGAATCAGAACTGTGGTATGCTAATCACTATGTACTTATATTCTTGTCAGCACCCATTCAAGTTACTCTATCATCCTTAATTAGAGAGTGCTAATCCGATTTTGTTCTTCTAATAAATGAACATGCTGTGGTTTAATAGAAAGAGTGTGGGTTTTGGAGCCAGAGATCTGCGTTCGTATCCTATCTTTTTTAAACTACACAGCCCTGTGCAATTTACTTAGATATTTATTCTCCAGTTTGTCTTCTGTAGAATGGGGATAATACTGTGCCTTACACAGTTGCTGTGAAGATATGATGAAAGAATATATGTGAAGACATTTATTCCAGTGTCTGATGGAAAATAGGCCTTTTCTTCTTATGTATTCAGACACATTTGAAGTATCACACAGCTGATTACTTTGGAAAACATGTTGGTAGCTTACTGATTTTTCTGATTACATTTAGTCAGGATTTTGTTTTCCAACCTGGATATGCACAGCCTGCAGCTTCATTGTATTGCTAATGAAAACTTTCTGTGCCAGGCCGGCATTGGCTGGCCGTTTGGTTCACAGTGCTCCAGTTACTTATAATGACTTGCAGATGCTTATGCAGAACAGGAAGGGTTTCATAAACATACCGAATCCTTATAGGAGCTCGCAGAACTAGAGAGTGCCCTCCAGGAGCAGCATGAGGTGAATGTGTCCCTGCAGCAGACCCAGGGAGATCTCAGTGCCTATGAGGCTGAGCTAGAGGCTCAGCTGAAAATACGGGATGCTGAAGCCAGCCAGCTCAAGGAGGAGTTGGAAGAACTTAGAAGGCTCAGCCAGGTAAGTAGGGGCATAAAGCCATCTAGAATCCAATTAACATATCAGCCTTTGTTTAATTTAATGTAAGATGAAACAGTTTTTAATATAATGTATGTGGAATAATGGGAAGAGTACATTTTTCGAGTCAGATGTTTTGAGTTCATATACGACCCCTGTGAGCCCCTGTGTGAGCATGCAAATCACTTCATAGCTCTTGAGCCTCTGAAAAATGCCTCCTTGTCTATAAAATGGGTTATCGTGAGGATAAGGTAAATATCGGGCATGAAAGCACCTAGCAGCTGGTGTTCAATAAATTCTAGTTTTTCTTTCTCAGAACAAGGTTAAGAGACCTCTTTTAAGTTAGTGTTAGTGTTATATTTTATTTTGCTACTTTCTGTTTGGTTGGATGAAGTATCCACTCGTTTAAATTGTACTGGCAGGGGCGCCTGGGTGGCTCAGTCGTTAAGCGTCTGCCTTCGGCTCAGGTCATGATCCCAGGGTCCTGGGATCGAGCCCCGCATTGGGCTCCCTGCTCCGTGGGAAGCCTGCTTCTCCCTCTCCCACTCCCCCTGCTTGTGTTCCCTCTCTCGCTGTCTCTCTCTGTCAAATAAATAAATAAAATCTTTAAAAAAATAAAAAATAAATAAATTGTACTGGCAAATTAGAGAAATAATTATTCATCCAAAGCCACTTACCAACTGGCCATTGAGGGCAGGTGCTGTGGATGCTGCAGTGAGCAGCACAGACACGGTCACTGGCCTTGTGGAGCTGACAGTCTAGCAGTGAAACAGGTGTGGGAGAAAGAAGGGGATAGCATTCTGTAGCAGGAGAGGGGTGGGTTAGGGAAGACTGCCGTAGAGAAATGTCTCAGCCGAGACTCAAAGGATGAGTTGGATTTTGGTGTGCAGAAGGATCGGGGGTGAAAAGGGTAGGGGTAAGGAACGAGTGTTCTAGGCTGACGCAAGGAGAGGGAGCATAGTGCATTTGAAGTGCAGAAAGTATGCCTCTTGGATGCTAGGAGCAAGAGTAGGGAAGAGGGAGAGAGGGAAAGACAGGCAGACAGGGGCCAGTTATTGCATATTCTTTATCAAATTAAAAATGTAATTTTGTTTAGCTATTATTCACACAGGCTGCATCTTTCTCCAGGAAGCCCACTGTGACCTTCCTCTTGTGGCTGCTGGAAATCTGGGTTCAGGATCCTACTTTAGTTTTCCTGTAGCCTGTGCTCAGTCAAAGCATTTTAGATTTTTAGATCCAAAATTTTTAGATCAGCTTAGATTGTCCATCTCTCCCGCTAGACTCGGAGCACAGTGACTACCCAGATTGTATATGCCTGTTTCTGTTCTCTCGGTCCCTGGCACATAAAGGGGGTCAAGATGCACTTACTGGATGAAAGTGAAATAGAATAAAATAGTTTGCATCCCAGGAATGTATGTAAAATAGAATTCATGTGATTAGAAAAGGAAATTAAAAATAGGTCATGCTTATTATAGTAATTATGGTAATTTGTATCCCTTATCAGATACCAAATGACCACCTGACAATTGTCAGGATTATATTTCTCCAGAGTATCAAGTTTTATAAAACTATAGTTGATAAGATCAGAGTACAAAAAAAATGGGAAGTTGGGGGGAAACAATTAAAATAACAGTAAATACAGATTTCTAAATAATAATAAATTCTAGATGGCATCTCATTTCCAATAAATTCTCTTAAGTTTTCAAGCCAGCCTTTACTAGCTTGAAATCTATTGTCCTTTGTATTTCCATTGTCCTTTTTTTCTTCATAAGTCTTGACAAAAATATTATAACAGCCTAGCCTTTTCACCGATCTGCTTGATATTAAGAGGGATATTCCCCTTCTTGGGAGGAACACTACCAGAATTGGTCTTCAAGCCATATATTGAGAGTATGGAGCATAACAGATCTCTCTCTGATCTACAGATCTCTAATTGGTATACTTTAGCTGTATGAAATCTCTTGTGAAGCTTATTAAATGCAGATTCCTTCCCACCCCCCCAACCCCCGATGCTTCTGGCCCATTGAGGCTGAGATGTAATCTGGGCATCTGCATTATTAACAAGCACACCAAGTGATTTTGATATAGGTATTTGAGGACCACAGTTTGAGAAATATTAGTCTAAGGGAAGGAAGAGCAGTAACTGTTGAATCACTCACAGAACTTTTGAAGGTAGGTACTTGGGCCCACCCCTGAGGTTCTATTTGATATATCTGAGCTGAGCTGATTCTGATGTCTACTCTTTCTTAAGTATTAATGGTTGAAGAAGGCATGTGAAAAAGATGAACTTGGGCTTTGAAATTTGAACATATAAACATAAAACCGAGTTATTATAAAACCATAGCTATCAAGGGATTGTGTGTGTATATAAATGTATTTATGCCTTTGTAGATTAAAAAAAGTGTTGCTATTTATGTTTTCATGTTGTTGCTTCCCATGGCAATAGTTAGAACAATCGGCCCTTCAAGAGGAACTTGAGAAGGAAAAGCAAGCCCTCAAGAATGCTGTCAGAAAAGCCCAGCTCTCAGAAGGAAAGGACCAAGAAAATAGTGAGCTCCGCACACAGCTCAGACAGCTGCAGGTAGAGACATGTCTGTTCAGGATATAGTCTTACGTAGGACACCCTCAGTGTCTTTAGTCAGACACTTAACCTGCTCCAACCTGTAGTAAGCAACTTGAATTATTAGAAAAGAAAGATTCTGGATGGGATGGTACCATAGCCTCTGTTCCCTAGTGAGCCCATCGCTGTAAGATTATTAACACACACATCCTTTGTGGTGTTCTGGTGGTGTGAAGAGGTGGAGCCAGGGTCGGGAGTACACAGCAAGGACTGTGTGAACTCACAGGTGAAAGCAATACCTGACATTTCTCCGAGAAGCGGATTTGTCACCATACTGAGCTAAAAGGATCAGATTGACGCATTCTTCTTCCACTGAAATACCTTTGTAATTATCCAGGAATTTAACTAGAGTGGATTGCAGAACTTCGTAACTGTAAACAATTTTCATAATCCCCTCCTCAGAAAGGATGCTATTAAAAATGCAGTCATGGGGCGCCTGAGGGGCTTAGTCGGTTGAGCGTCCAGCTCTTGGTTTCGGCTCAGGTCATGATCTTAGGGTCATGGGATTGAGCCCTGGGGTTATGGGATCAAGCCCCATGTCATGTCGGGCTCCCCGCTTAGTGGGACGTCTGCTTCCCCTCTCCCTCTGCCCCCTCCTCTGCTTGTGCGTGCGTGCACGTGCATGCTCTCTCTCTCTCAAATAAAATAAGTCTTAAAAAAAATGCAGTCATTTTACATCTGGGGGGGTTTGCTTTGGCAGAGTATTTTTACTGCCACTGTCACGATAATTTGCCTAACAAACTGCCAGAGAAGCAGGTGGACAGGATTTTCCAGATAATTAAACTCTCAGAGAGCACAGATGGCTGAACAAACAGGTACCTGGATCAACACTCAGGTCTCAATCTGTGAGGCCAAGGGCCACTTGGCTGACTGAGGTGGCATGTGTTATACTTCACCAGAAATAAAGGGGCAGAGTGGCTATGGTTTTAGGGATGGCTTCCGTGCTGGGGGTTGTAATAAGACTAATAAGCTCACCCAAATTCTCTCTCTTCTTCCAATGCCTTGAATATTTTTTCCTCAAAGTTTAAAGAAATGTAATAACCTAGAATTTAATTTTTAATGCTATCAGCTTAATTTCTGAAGCAAGTATCATAAAAGATGTACAGATTTTCCTTTCTTGTTTGACTTGTGTGTCAGGTGTTCAATAGATTACTATTTTTTACTTTTACTATGGAAATTTTCAAATAATCACAAAAACAGAATAGTCTAAGGTCCTTTTGTTTACCCTGCTTAAACAAGCAGCATTCTGCCATTCTAGGTTCAGTCAGTCCACATGTTTGTTTTGCTGGAATACTTCAAAAGAAAATCTCATACATCTTTATTTCACCCATAAATACTTCAGTATACATCTCTTAAAGAAAGAGACTAAAATGTCTTCTTTTGGGGCCTTCTCCTCCAAGTTAGAAACTGAAGTCAGCTTTCCAGAATGCTTAGCCCATGCTGTGAGACTACCTTACTTGGAACTAGGTCCTTGGCCTAATAACCTCCTGATACAGAGTTCAGGTTAAACTCACTCTGCATTTGTCTTTGTCAGAAAATCATTTAGCTGTAATGAACCAAAACCTACTAACATGAGCTCCAGAAGGGAGACAGAGCTGCTGTGTCAGTCAGTCTTTCAGGAGCTACAGGGCTCTCTCATTTCTCCTTCTCTGTCTCTGTGGGCGTTGTATTTGCCCACCATGGACTCCAGCCCTGAGCTGACATATCTTTACAAGGCCTGCTGTTACGGTCTTGATGTCCTGGATCTTGGTCCAAACTTTGGAGAGAGTGAGAACTTGTTTTCTGGCTGTGGCCAGGATTAGACAGTGGTACAAATCTGGGCACCTCAGGGCATTGGGCAGGACAGTTTACAGATAACAGGCTCCAGATGGGACAGGCAGTTAACATGTTCATTGCAATTCTGAATTCTCCATTTTAGTTAAGAGTATTTCGCTGAGTTTGAAGTTTAAATTAATCACTCAGGTGGAATATAGGTATTCAGGTGAGTGCAGTCAACACCTTAGGATGCAGAACTATTTTTCTTTACAATTTAAGGTGATTTTAGCAGTTTCTTTTTACTTGAAAGAGGCATTGTGTGAATTTAATTCTTGGGATATTTGTGTTTGTTAATAATAAAAATATGCTGGCATATAACAAATACTCCCACAGAGAATTATAAGCTATTAGAGAAGTTTCAGTATTAAGAGATTTCATTTTTAGTTGCTTGGCAGACGGAGTCTCATGGCAAAGTGTTTTTTGGTTTTGTTTTTTTTAACTTTGAATTATGGACATTTCAAACATGTACAAAAGTAGAATATGGAAATGAATCCTCATGTCTTCACCAGTTATTAGTGCATGGCCAGCCTTACCTCATCTGTCATGCCTGCCATAACACACCCCTCACACCTGTTCACACACTGAATTATTGTGAAATAAATCTGAAAATCTTGGGGTGCCTGAATGGCTCGGGTCATGATCCTGGGGTCCTGGGATTGAGCCCTGCATTGCATCCGTTTCTCCTTCTCCCTCTGCCCCTCCCCCCCACTCATGCGCGCGCTCTCTCTCTCTCTAATAAATAAAATCTGAAAATCTTATTTTATCTGTAAATACTATACAAAGGCTTTTTTAAAAAGCATGAATAGATACCACTTTATATCTTAAAATTATAGTAATTCCCTAATACCAAATGCCTTCTCATATGCAAATTTTCAAATTATCTCATACAGTTTGGTTTTGTTTCATTTCAGAGAGAGAGAGAGAGGTATTGGGGGAAAGGGAGAGAGAGAAACTTAAGCAGGTTCCACACTCAGTGTGGAGTCCAGTGTGGGACCCAATCCCATGACCCATACCTCTCACAGTTTTGACAAGTGTTGGTTGGAATCAGGATCCAAATAAAGTGCACACATTGCATTCTGTTGACTTGATTCTTAAGTCTGTTCTAGTCTATAGGCTTCTTCCTTCTTTCCCCCTTTGTAGTATTTTAGAGAAAACCAGGTCTTTGTCCTGTATAGTTTCCTGTATTCTAGATTTTGCTGGTTGCATCTCTTCTGGTATTGATTAATATGTTCTTATGTTGCATATTGAGGCTTATTTAGATTCAAGTTAGTTACTTCTCAGCAAGAAGACGTTCATAGGTAGTGTTCATGGGTACTTACTTTTGTATCACATCAGGAAATACTGTAATGCCTGGTTTTGTCTTTTGTGACTTTAGATTGATCAGTAGATTCAGATATTGTCAGCCCAAATAGAAAGCATTTTTTTTTAGTATTTATTTATTTTGTCAGAAAGAGAGAGCACGCACAAGCAGGGGGAGCGGCAGGCAGAAGGAGAAGCAGACTCCCCGCTGAGCAGGGAGCCCCTTGCGGGGCTTGATCCCAGGACCCTGGGATCATGACCTGAGCCAAAGGCAGACGCTTAACTGACTGAGCCACTCAGGCGCCCTAGAAAGCATTTTTAAAGACCTGGTAAAGGAAGTTGAATAGAACTATCATATGATAAGTACTATAGTCTGTGTATTGGTATGTGTGTGTATTTTAAATTTTGTTTTGGTAACTCTTACCTCCCCATTTCACCCCCATCCATAGGATGACAATGACCTATTAAAACAGCAACTTAAAGATTTCCAGAGTCACCTTAACCATGTGGTTGATGGTTTGATTCGTCCAGAAGAAGTGGCAGCTCGTGTGGATGAGCTAAGGAAAAAACTGAAGTCAGGAGCTGGGGAGATGAGGTAATGAAAAATCAGGACCTCCAGGTATTGAGATTGCTGAGTTATGAACATAAGGTGCATATAGATTCACCTTCCCAAGTTCTGTTAATGGCTGATTTCTTTTGTAAGCGTTCCTGTGTCATATTTTCCGTGATTGAGACACAAGATTGCTTCATTCAAACTGCCTATCACTGATTTTTTTACATTTTAAATCTTTCATACTTTTTGGTATTATTTAATTTAAAAAGCAGAAATTTTAAGAGTAACTCTTGTCTTGAAAATTCATTGCATGTGTTCAGAAAGTAGAGCCATATTATGCATTTTAAATAGAAAATAAGTATCAAAACCAAGGCTGATTTAAATACATGAAATGGACATTTATTCTTTGAGCAAACACTGTTAGCCTACTAGGAGCCTGTGTTTTCAGAGTGACAGCAGTCACTGGATAAAACAGTGACTTGCACTTCAGGGGTGCTGAGTTGCCGTGTCCTGACGCGGGTCCCGTTCCAGGCAACTCTCTCTGCTCCTGCACGGCTACCAGCATGTTTGCAACCGGCATCCGGCCTGACAGCTGAAAGGTCACCTTTATGCCATCTTTTTTCCCCCTCACCAGAATCCATACTTCTTCAGATGTCTTAGGGAAAAGTCTTGCTGATTTGCAGAAACAATTCAGTGAAATCCTTGCACGCTCCCAGTGGGAGAGACAGGAAGCCCAAGTGAGAGAGAGAAAGCTTCAGGAAGAAATGGCCCTGCAGCAAGAGAAACTGGCAAGCGGACAAGCAGAGTTCAGGCACGCCTGCGAGAGGGCCCTGGAAGCACGGGTAAGGAAAGGGCGAGAGGCAGCTCGAGGGTGTGTTTGGCCAATACTCCTGTTTTTCCAACAAATTGCAGTGTTTCCTTCTCATGTAAATACAGTACACCTACTGTTATTTTCACTCTTCATGAGTCAAACTGTCTGTGACTGAAATTCAACCCTGATGTCAATCAGGCTTCTTTGGGGCTCTGTTTTCCTTGTTTTGGAAGCAAGTGGGCATGCAGGTAAACAATACTACATTGCTAGGGTGTAGTGTCGTGCCAGAATCTGATTTTTTGGATGCAATTCTTTTAATGATGACGCAAACATTAAAATCTTAGATTTTAGATCCTAGAGAACATTCAAGATAAAACCATGCCCTGTAACTCATTAGTACAAAATTTCATTACCTTCTTTAGTAAAATGAAATGTGATTCCCTAAAAAGTTTTTATTTTGCCTAAAAATCCTCTTTGAAACTTGATTTCCTCACAGATTAGTTTTGATAAGAGGCAGCACGAAGCAAGAATCCAGCAGTTGGAGAATGAAATTCACTATTTGCAAGAAAATCTAAAAAGTATGGAGGAAATCCAAGGCCTTACAGATCTCCAACTTCAGGAAGCTGATGAAGAGAAGGAGAGAATTCTGGCCCAACTCCGGGAGTTAGAGAAAAAGGTGGGGAAGACTCGGAAAGCGTGACACCTGTGTCCTCACACCTGGGTCCTGCCCCCCCGCGAGCAGGCCCTCAGTGCGGAGCCTGATCCACGGTCACCTCTGGCAGCGTTGCTGGTCCAGAGGTGGACTGGACCCAGGGGAGGCCGGGAGGCATGTGGTCGAATCAAGGGCCCGAGACAGGTGCCACGGGAGATGAAAACGAGAGAAATGGCGTGTGAGGAGGGACCTTAGAGCTTCAGTGCTGATGGCCTCCTCCGAAACCCCTTGTCCAGTTGGACACATCCATGGGCAGTTACTGTTTAACTCCTCATCTTCCTTTCTAACATGCCGGCCTCTCTCTTTGCTTCTCGATCCCACCTCAACCGTCTCCTCCCATTGTCACATCCTCAACCTTGTGCGGCTCAGAAATTGTGCCCACCACCTCGGAAGTCCTGAGCTAAGCAGCCCACAGCGATCATAACGCTGTCCACTGCACCCCACGCTGACAAGTTTTCAACCTCATTGACAACTCCAGGGCATGAATCCCACCTTTTCTGTCCGTTCAGGTTTCCTGTCTACCTTCCTCATCATCGCCCGACCTAAATTCCACGGTCCTCTCGATACCCATTTTTGCAAATGTCCTCAAGCCCCTTGTCCTTTTCTCCTGTCTCACTTGCCCGACAGAACTGCAGCTGTGTGCTTTGGGCTGGTACCCATCCTGAGTATTCCTGCAGAAAAATATCACCCACCCAGGCACAGTGGTATCGTTACAATCTTTTCGTCCTCAACCTCAGATGGGCAGCATCACCCTTCTCTCTGATCAGTTCACTCTCCCATGCTCCGCTGTTTCGTTCCTTGTCGCTCCGCACACGTGCCTTCTCCCTTCTCCCAGCCTCAGTGAATGACTTGCTTCAGACTTGACCGAGAACCTTTCAGTTCCCAAGTCCTGTCATGTCCGCCCCCAAAATATATCTGGAATATAGTTCCTTTTTTCTTCCCTGATGCCAGCACCCCCATCCAGCCATCATCTCCCTTCTGAACCACTGGTGTGGCCACCTGACAGATGACCCTGCTTCCCGGAGCCGCCGCCATGCTCTTTCAAAAACAGGCATTGACTCCTGTTAGTCCCAACGCCCCCTCCCTCCACCCCCAGTCATTTCCCCCTCTCCAGGAACTTCTTTTGTTTTTATGAAAAAGACCTAAATTCTTAAGCCTACGAGGGGGCCCAACATGATTTGCTTCCCTCCTGTTCTCACCAGGCTCCTTCTTTCAGTTCCTCAAAAATGCCAAGTTCTCCTGGCTTTCCCACATGCCATTTCCTCTCCTGGACCATGTTCCTCCACCCTTCTCTCTGACTGCCCCCTCCCCACCAATCTCCATCTGTCCTGCTGTTCTCTCAAATAGTACCCTGTTCTGTCCCTTGATAGCTACTAACCACCATTTTGGGTATGTATTTGTCTGAGTGTTTGTTTATTATCTGTCTCTCATAAGCTCCTTGAAGGCAATAGCCCAGTCTGCTTTCTTTGCCACCATATCCCAGTGCCTAACTCAGCAGTCACAAGGGGCTGGTCCATCACTTGGTGATGGTGCTGGGAAATGGTTTTCCAATGAATGAATGAATCTGTGATCACTAAGGTTCTTGACTAAGAAGACTGATTTCATTCTAAGTTTACCATACAATTTTGAGTTGATTTTTATTTATTCATTCACTCAGTGAATATTTATGGAGCACCTACTTTGTACCAGGTATTATTCTAGGCACGGGCTGGGTAGCAGTGAACAGAGTCCCTGCCCTCATGGAGCTTGTGTCTTAATTCATTGCTGCCAAGTGATTCATCTGTTCAATTAATGTTTCTTTTATTTTAGAAGAAACTTGAAGATGCCAAGTCTCAGGAACAATTTCTTGGTTTAGATAGAGAATTGAAGAAACTAAAGAAAGCCGTGGCCGCCTCTGATAAGCTAGCCACGGCTGAGCTCACCATTGCCAAAGACCAGCTCAAGTCCCTTCATGGAACTGTGATGAAAATTAACCAGGAGCGAGCAGAGGTGAGTCCACGTGTCTAGAACAAGCTTCCATCAGCCCTGCTGCCCCAAAACATAGCCACTTGTATTATTGCTTTTATTATTATTTTGTTATAGACTTTGGTCATCTTAGAAACCATGGTAAAGTTGCCATCTCCCTTCAGACCTAAGGATTGTATTTCTCCTGTCACAGCCCCGCGGTGGGTCCTGCCCTCTCCTGAGCCCTGACAGGAACCATCAAATGAAACATACTCTCGCCACCTCAAAGTGTAGCACTTTGCCTAGGGAGATGGCTGTGCATACACACCGGAACCAAGGTTTTAAAGGCTGGCCATCTCATCCTTCCAAACCCCAGACTTTTCATCTTGTGCAGTCAGATAACATGTGATCTCTCGGGCTGTTCTGCCTTCTGACTGAAATGCTGTTTGTAACGGTTTGAAAGGGGGCAGATGCTCATGAGATTAAGACAGTAGATCGTAGGAGAGACAATCTAATGATGGGAGTCCAGAGAGACACCAGTTGGGAAGACTGGAGAATAGTGAAGAAAAAGTTAGCTCTGGCTCTTACTGATGCAGCCCCCTGCCCACCTGGCCCCATGGAGAGGTGGAGCAGGCTGCCAAGTAATGGGAACAGCACGGGACAGGGTGGGACCTGGCGCCGCACATGCACACATGCACTCAACGCACGCGAGGCTGGCGATCGGACTAACACAGAGGAGTCTGAGAGGAAGAAAGAAATGAAGGAGACAGCGAATGATGGCAGTGCTGCCTCTCCCCTACCTCTGTCCCAGTAGGAGCTGCAGGAGACGCAGAGGTTCAGCAGAAAGGCAGCGCAAGCGGCCAGGGATCTGACCCGAGCCGAAGCGGAGATTGAACTCCTGCAGAACCTTCTTAGAGATAAAGAGGAGCAGGTCAGTGCTGGGGTCTCCTCCTTATTGGGCCCGTATCAGTTGCTCAAAGACAAAAGTAGTGGAGGTGGCCACTCAGAGAATTTGGAAGTGTAATCAGTGGTTCGTCAGCACTTGGTCCCCTACTGCGTGCCGGGCGGAGTGCGATTTCAGTACAAGGAGTGACCCGGCATCCTCATGAGTAAAGCATGGGTAAAAGTTCTAGAAGTACTAAATCAAGCTGCAAGGATAAGTGCCCCTAGGAAAGAGTATTCGTGGGCAACTTTGTGTATGTGATTTTTTAATAGTTTCAAAATGAGATGGAGAAAGTAGATGTTGGCACTGGAGGAGTGAATTCACAGGTGCTGGAGTTGGAGGCACTAAATGAGACAATGGAGAGACAAAGGACAGAGATCGCAAGGCTGCGGAATTTACTGGACCTCACCGGGGCTGGTGAAGTATTGCGCTTTGGTTTGGGTAGTAGTTTTAAAAACAGTTGTTCTAAAATCAAATCATGTGGAAAAAAGATCATCCTGTTTGTTTTTTTGCTGTAGCGAATTTATTTAATTGTGATAGATCAATTCCATGCTTGATTTACAGAGCTGTGATAATTAGCTTAATGAATAAAAACGAAGAATTTAAAAAACATTTATGTAAGTGAAGTATTAAGGAACTTGATTACAATGAGACAAGAGATTTTTGAATTTTCAAAAGGAATAATGTTTACAAATCTGTTCTCTTTCCCTGGCTCACTTTATAAGTGAACAACAGAGGGGTATGTCTATCCTCTTTAAGTGTTAGCAAAAACTTGTTACCACGGGACAGGCTGAAAAGTCAGCTTTGAGGAGCTGATCAAAGTCATTGTCTGCCGTAGCAACACTTTTCGTATGTTGAGAGAGGAGGGAAGTAGAGGATTTCATGCCCAGTTTCACAGGATGGCTTTCTTTTGCAGATGTTAACAAAGGAAGCTTTGAAAATGTTTTGGAAGAAATTGCCGAACTTCGACGTGAAGTTTCTCATCAGAATGATTACATCAGCAGCATGACCGATCCTTTCAAAAGACGAGGCTATTGGTACTTTATGCCACCACCGACATCATCAAAAGTAGGAAGTCTGTGATGCTGGGGGTGTATACTGAATTTTCTTGAAGGAAATGTGGCAATGTTCTCTTCTCCCAGTTTGTGAAGAGGGTCTCAAGAACAATATGTCTAGGCTAAGCCATGCATTGAGGTTCTTAAGTGTTTTTAATATTTGAGATGAAAATAGGGCCTTCCTAGGAATATTGCTGTTGCCCGTTCATGCTCAGGTGGTATGTTGTGGGTCCCTGAAAGAAGATTCTGCAAGGGGATAAGGTGACGAGGCCAGAGGGCCTGTTGGAAATGGGTAGAAAATTGTGCAGAGGCTGACAGAAAACTGGGCACCTGGATTTCATTTGATTTTAGCCAACATTTCATTCTGTGTTCACTGAAATCTAGGTCAGGTGCTAGGTGGGGTGGGCTGCCATGAGGAATGATCTCAAAGAGCTCATGCGCTGGTCGGGAGACCCGTACACCAGTGTAATTACAACAGTGGCATGCCCGTGACAACAGACTTGACCTGTGTGCTCTGTTGTAGAGAATGTTAGGGCTTTCTCGCATGGGGAAGTTCAGGAAAGAAGGCTTCACACACAGTCATGAAGTCAGCACTTAGCCTTCAAGGGGTGGGCTTTTAGGAGGGAGGAAATGTGTGGAAGGGGAGAGTTGGTTTAGCTGTGGTGAGTCGCCTTATGGGGTTGGACGGTTGGTTGGGAACAGTGAAAGGTGAGGCTGGAAAAGTAGATGGGGCTCATGCTTTTGGAAAGGGCCTCAAAATCTCTTGCACTGACTCGGGGAGGCCTTGAGGACCAAGGCTGTGTGTAATGTGATCAGAGCCGTAGTTTAGGAGGAGTAATCGGGCTGAGTGTGGGGGCCCGGCTTGCGGGCGTGGTGAACCTGGGGTGGGGGGGCGCCGTGTGAACTCATTCCGTGAGGGACAGAAGCCAGAGCTAGAGCAGTGGAGCTGGAGGAGAAGAGATGGCACCGAGGGATGTCCAGCAGACACGGCTGGGGCTTGAAGGTGGGAAGTGAGGAGAGGACAGAAAGCGGCCCGCATCCAGAGCAGCGGGGCTGGGTGACCTCCTGCTAGAATCAGCAGGCAGGAAACAGTCAGGGAAGAAGCGGCTGACACACGGGCATCCCAGGGCTGTGCAGACTTAACAGGAATCCAGACAGCCTTGACAACCAGGGCTGAAGGTGGAAGCTGTGTGGGTTAGAGGTAACATTGTAAGGCTGAGCTGGGCGAGGGTTTGGGAAGTACACCTATTTATGACTGGGAAGGAGGGAGGGTAGCAGAGTAGAGCTTCCCAGCCACACCAGGCTCCCAGGACGGCAGGAGACTAATATCCCATATGGCCTTGAAAATTCACTGGTTTCCCCAGCCTTCACTGGTGTGCCATCAAGGACGAGGCAAAAGGGGAGAAGCCACCAGGAAAGATGAGCACTGGAGAAGAGAGGCCGACACTCAGGCCATTTACCTGACTTGACTGTGTAATCATGTCTCACTTCTTTGTGAAAAATGAGAATTAGAATCTATGAAAAGAAACCAGTTCTTTCTTAACTTTGCTACATCTCATCTTTGTTCTAGACTTTGGCATTTCTCGAACTCAGCCTTTTCATTTCTAATAAATAGTGGGCTCTTCTATCATTTCTTTTAGGTTTCCAGCCACAGCTCCCAGGCCACCAAGGACTCTGGCGTTGGCCTAAAGTACACGGCCTCAACTCCTGTTAGACAACCACGTCATGGACAGCAGGATGGAAAGCACGACAGTGGGCCTCCACCTGTCTCAGGATACTGGGTGTATTCTCCCATCAGAAGTGGGTTACGTAAATCGTTTTCAAATAGAGGTAAGTTAAATTACAGAAGGGAAGTTGCATTTCTCTTTTATTGGTTCCCTGAAATCCATAAGACACAATCCAGACTCCTTGGCTTGTTCTCAAGGCCCTCTGTGCTGCGGCCTTGGCCAGTGACCTCCTGTCTCCCCTTCCATTACCGTGCCACAGTCAGCCGTCCCAGCTGCCTAAGATACCCAAAGCATGCCATGTTCCTCTAACCTCCCTGTTTTAACCCTTTGTTTAGAATGTCCTTCTTCCTTCCTCTCCTAAATCCATTCCTGTTGATCCTTCAACAAGACCCAGGCCCTCAAACAACACTCCTTTATGGAGCCTTGCTCCACCCTGCCTCACCCAGGCTGACTGAGCGGCTTCTTCACCTGCACTCTTGGAGCATGGCAGGTGCTTACATCCTTGTGTCATGGCATTGATTAGCTTGACTGAAATGAAGTGGTTTTTTTTGTTTTTTTGTTATGATTTTATTTATTTTTTGACAGAGAGAGACATCAAGAGAGGGAACACAAGCAGGGGAAGTGGGAGAGGGAGAAGCAGGCTTCCCGCCGAGCAGGGAGCCAGACGTGGGGCTCGGTTCCAGGACCCTGGGGTCATGACCCAAGCCTAAGGCAGACGCTTAACGACTGAGTCACCCAGGCGCCCCTAAAGTGAACTGTTATAGGTCCATCTTCTAAAGCTCCGAGAGGAAGAGTCAGACTTGGGAGTTAATCATGGCTCTTGCAGTAGGTAGCTGCATGGTCCGAGGCAAATTATTTAGCTCCTCTGAGACTGTTAAGTGTAAAGTAGGAATATCACCTTTGGAGAGTGTGTTCCTTCAGGAGCTATTTATCGAGTGCCTGCTGTGTGCTAGGCTGTCATCAGTGATAAATGTAGATCCTGCTGGTCGGGGAGATAAGCAGGAAGGCCAGCAGCTTAGAGAGCCGTGGTCAGTGCTGAGGGCTGTGGGTCTCACTGCTCCTCTCTGCATCTCTGTTGGTCTTCTCTAGCCTGAAGTAGGCACCCAAGTGGTTGCTGAATAAATGAATGAAGACCAAAAAAAGGGCAAATCAACAGATAGGCGTAAGAAAAACTCAAGTATCAGCCACTGAAAATATATGAATCCCTGTTTTGATTAGCTTTTCAAAACTGCTTTTGACCTTTTTGGCGAAATTTCATTCTCACGTCTCAGGATTTGGGCCTCAGTGCTGCCGTTCTCTATAAATTTGTTTACCTAATAAGCCATGGGGGTAAAACACTCTTCTGTTTCTTTCAAGATGCAGACAGCGGAGGAGATAGCCAGGAAGAGAGCCAAATGGATGACCAAGAGGTCCAGTCATTTGTACCTCCCCCCGGATACATGATATACCCTGTGTTTCCTGATGGTTCTCCTGTACCCCAGGGCATGGCCCTGTATGCACCCCCTCCTCCCTTGACCAATAATAGCCAACCTCTCAACCCTGGGGCTGTTGTTTATGGCCCACCTCCTGTTGGGGCTCCCATCGTGTATGGTCCTCTACCTGCCAACTTGTCTGTACCCCACATCCCCGTGGGGGTGCTGCATTGCAACGTCCCAGAACACCATAACTTGGTAAGTGGAAAGACATAAGACTCCCTGTCCACACTGCGCCCACGGGAGACTGAATAAGGGTATATATGTAATGATTCAACCTATTTATGAACGGATTATGTCCCAAGTGTGTTTATAAGGTTGGTGTTTAGAGTGGAGTAAGCATTCTTTTATTAAAATACTCTTCTGGACAAGAGTTAGGATACCAGGCCAGTCTGCAAACTTTGTTTAACCATCTTCTAACAAAAATGCTTTCAGTCTAGAAATTAACTATTTTTGGAGAGCTTACAGTGTATTTTTCTATTGACAAGTACTGATGTGTACGTACAGGGGTACTCACGTAGTAGTTCCTCTACTTGTGCACACATGTACCGTGTGCGTTGTTGACAAGTACTAATGTGTACGTATAGGTGTACTCAAGTAGTGGTTCCTGTACTTGCGCACACATGTACCCATGTCTGTTGTTGACAAGTACTGATGTGTACGTATAAGGGTACTCATGTAGTGGTTCCTGTACTCGCGCACACATGTACCGTGTGCGTTGTTGACAAGTACTGATGGGTACGTGCAGGGGTACTCACGTAGTGGTTCCTGTACTCGTGCGCACATGTACCGTGTGTGTTGTTGACAAGTACTGATGTGTACGTGCAGGGGTACTCACGTAGTGGTTCCTGTACTTGCGCACACATGTACCTGTGTGTGCACACACGTACACATGTATGTGCTTGTGTATTCACATACATGAGCAGCAGGGTTGTGGTGGGGATTATCTGAGATAGGTGATTATTTTTTTCTTTTCATAATTCTTACACAGATTTCATATTCTGTTTTTCCCACTTAACATTACAGGCATTTCCCCATGGTTTTACAAATGTTTTTAAGTAGTATTTTAATGACTTTAAGTAGTATTTTAACTCCCCTCCCCTGTGCCCAGAGGAGGAAGAGACCTTTGTCTGTCTCTTCTGCTCCTTGCTGACCTCTGGAGAGATGATCCATAAGAGGTGCTTGGTGAATGTGTATCAACCATAGTTGGGCTGATGGAAAATTTGAAAGCTCTCTTCATTTAAAGGCCGTATAGTTGACTTAACCGTGTAAATTTTTAGTGTATTTCGTATTCTTACCTAAGGCTAGATTTCAAAAAATGATTACTTCCTAATCACTAGCTTGCTTTTTAACTCTGTGGTAAAGAACTAAAATGCACCACAAACTCCTCCTTCAAAGCTAAGGAACCTAGAGCGTTTTGTACTTCCTTTCCCCCGGGAGATAGAGAGGGAGACCAGGACTGGAACACACCGTGGGTCAGGCTGCTTTTCGAGGGCCTGCGTGTGCTCATGTGGTTGAAGCGGTCGGTAGTCACTCACGTCGCCCAGCAGTCTCAGCACGCGTGTGTTTACAGCAGTGCTGTCGGCTCGGCACGTGATCCCCTCTCAGTAAGAGCTGGTTGTTACCCGCCAGCGGTACCCAGCTGTCCTGCAGTTTCTCACATGCCCTCCTAGACCTCCGTGCATTTGCACAGGTTCTTTCTTCAGCTTACGTCTTCCCCATGTCCTTTATTCTTCAAAACCCGGGCAAAACACCTCTCCCTCTGGGCAGCCTTCCAGACAACTCCCCTCCCCTGTGCCTGGAGGAGGGAGAGACCTGTGTCTGTCTCTTCTGCTACTTGCTGACCTCTGGAGGTAGAGATGATCCATACGAGGTGTTTGGTGAATGTGTATCAACCATAGTTGGGCTGATAGAAAAGTTAAAAGCTCTATTCATCAGTTTCATCTGTGGTATGTGAAAAGTTGGCTTGACTTAATTTTTCTTTTCACACTGAAGTCTTAGAAGCTACCACCATTTTCACATTGTAGATAGCACTTCGAGTTAATTGCAGCTGTTGGCAGGAAAGAAGAGAGACATCAAGTGATGTTCTCAGTACTGCGTTTTTTTCTTTGTTCAGGAGAATGAAGTTTCTAGATTAGAAGACATAATGCAGCATTTAAAATCTGAGAAACAGGAACCGTGCATGAGAGCATCTAAGTGGCAGTCGGAGAAAGAACTGGAAGAACTGCATCATAATATTGATGGTCTTTTGCAAGAGAAGAAAGACTTAGAGTATGAAGTAGAAGAATTACATAGAACCATCCAGAAACATCAACAGCGAAAGTAATTATTATTAGCCATTTTATTTTTATAATTCTGATAAATAGGATATTGGCTCATTAAGGTAACCTAAATCAGTGTTGTCCGGTAGAACGTTCTGTGTTCTTGAAAATGCTGCAGAGCTGTGCTGTCCAGAACAGTGGTCGCTAGCCACATGTGCCTTTGAGCCCTTGAAATGTGGCTAATGGAGTGAGGAATAGAGTTAAATTTAAAATATTAGCCACGGGGTGACTCCCAGGCTGCGTAGTGCAAGTCTGAGTACTCTTGGCCAGTGATCCAAATCAGCTCTTCTTGTAGGTCCTCTTGGAGAATGGCACAGCCTTCTGCCCTCCCCAGTTACTCTGGCTAAAAACATGTCAGGTGTCCTCAGCTCCTCTTTCCCCACTCTCCCAAGCCTCCAGCTGGGGTCCAGGTCCTACAAATATACACAAAGAGCTGTCAAGCTGGTCCCCTTCTTTCGTCACTGCTGCCCTGGCCTTTAATCATGTCATCCTTGTTTGCTGGACTAGCTTCCGCATCAGCCTCCCTGTCCAGCCTCTCCATTCTACCCTGCACACAGCCAGGACCTGAGCGTGCCACTCTGCCATGTGATGCGGTCCCATCACAATACACACCCGCCCTCCAGATCTGAACCCTGCCCGTCTGCCTTACCCTTCTCTCCCACACACAGTGTTTGTTCACGCCCTACCTACTTTTCTTTGGTTTCCCCAAACACCACGTTTTCTCCTGCCTCCCCACCTTTGCACATACTGTCCTTGCCTAAAATGGTTTCCCTACCCCCTGCCTACTCCACCTTGTCTTTCCAGGTGAAGATCAGGGATCCCATCTCTCACACAAAACCTTTCTCATCTCAGGCTCCCGCGGTTCAGGGCTGGCAACCTTGGGCATAATACTGTTCACGCCATGTTGTAAGGAGCCCAGGAGGGCAGTAGCTGGGCCTCCCTCTTTGTGCCCCGGCATCTGGCATAGGGTCTGTTAACAAATGCATTATCTGCTGAGTGCGTCAGATGGGTAGAAGCCCATCTTCTGCAGTAGCCCATGAGTTCTGATGGGTCTCCCCAGTTTTTTGTCATGTAAGCCAGACTGTCCCAGGCACCGAGGTTGGGAGGAGATCTGTGGAGGTCACAGAGGTGAGTGAGCTATGGTCTCTGCCTCCTAGGAGCTCACATGTGACTGGTCAGTAGACCTGGCAGGGAAAAGCAAGGGTCACACCAGGAGAAGATGGGGACTAGATGTTTGAGGGTTTCGCAGATGATTATGCTATTACTTTTGTAGGTATGGGATGGGGAAGAGGGTTTTTATTGTGAGGTTTTTTGAGGGAAGATAGTAAGGCAGTGGGATAACCACTTCTTTTCCTAGTTATAAAGGTATAACTATATCATAAATATATGATCATTTTAAAGAATTTGGATAACACAAAAATGTCCAAAGAAGACAATAAAGATCATCTGTATGCCTTCATTTAAAGAGAAAGAATCTGTTAATATGTTGATGAATTTATTTTCATGTTTTACTGTCATAGTTTCATTTTCAAATTTTGACATGTTAACCTTGAGTTAGTGAGTCCTTTGTCTGGCTTTCTGTTTGTCAAATATCTTCACTATAATTTTACTCTAGTAGAACAGGGTAAATCACAAAATTAGTCTTTGAGGCAGCTAGTGAGCTGCAAGTTGAGAGATAGTTTTAAGGGAATGGATGATGATTATGGTAGTAGTTTGTTTTATTTTTTATACCACAGAAGAATAGAAATATCAACATTCTCTTGACAAGTGCTGACCCAAAAAAAAGAATCAAAAAAGATAAAACAACTACATCATACTTTATATATATTGTGTACTTACTGTCAACAGTATACCATATTTGTTTTTTTTAAAAGATTGTGCATGCATGTGAGAGCAGGGGGAGGGAGAGAGGATGAGGGAGAAAGAATCTCAAGCAGACTCCACGCTGAGTTCGGAGCCCGACGCAGGGCTCGATCTCACGACCCTGAGATGATGATCTGAGCCAAAATCAGGAGTTGGACGCTTGCCCGACTGGGCCACCCAGGTGCCCCCAGCAGTATACCGTGTTGAATAAAAGGGTAAACGTAGCCTTGAACATAATCAATGTAGCCGGTCTCCCACTGCTTCTCATATGAAATTAGAAAATCATCCTACATCTTATCAAGCTACAAGTGTCTATGTCGTCTGCATTTAAAGTGTCTTGATGTGTGTGTATATGATTTTTTTAGAGACTTCATAGATGGAAATGTTGAAAGTCTTGTGAATGAACTAGAAATAGAGAAGTCACTCGAACACCATGAAGATATTGTTGATGAAATTGAGTGCCTCGAGAGGACCCTTCTGAAGCGTCGCGCAGAGCTCAGGGAAGCCGACCGCCTGCTGGCAGAGGCCGAAAGGGAACTTTCATGCACGAAAGAGAAAGTATGTTCTGTTGTGGTTTGGGGTGAGGCAGTTTACTGTTGGCAGCATGAAGGACTAGAAAGAAAACATGACAAGAACACAGTCATCCAAGGCAGACGGTTGGGTTTCAGGCTGCGCTCTGGTAGTTAAAGAGCTGCGAGAATTTGGGCGAGCCCCCTCGGTCCCCAGCTTTGCTCTCCTCATCTGTCAGTTCAGGCCAGGAATACCAAGGCTGTTCAGTAAGGGTTAAATGAAGTAGTGTATTTTAAGATTTTATTTATTTGAGAGAGAGAGAGCGCGCGTGCAAGAGTGGGTGGGGGGGACAGAAGCAGAGGGAGAAGCAGAGTCCCTGCTGAGCAGGGAGCCCGATGTGGGGCTCGATCCCAGGATCCTGGAATTATGACCTGAGCCAAAGGCAGATGCTTAACTGACTGAGCCACCCAGGCGCCCCTAAATGAAGTAGCATATTGAAAGCTGCTAAAGTCATTTAGTTCCTAATTCACCCCACTTCCTTATCCTGTGTTTGTCTTTTTTAAATTATTTGGGCTCTGATAGCTCTGTGTATTAAATAGGTCAAGTCTTATATTTTAGAACAGCAGTGGATCTCAGAAGACTTCTTCCTAGTATTACTTTGTTCTCCAAGTGGATGTTATAAAATCAAATATTTTTTGGTCTGAGGTACTGTTCTTGAGACTACAACACAGAAGGAAATCAAGGAGGAAAAGGAGCTACCTGTCATTGGGCCTCTACTCTGGCCACACATTGTCTGTTTTATGAATACCCCTTCATTTAACTTTCCTGGCATCCTGTAAGATGGTTGTTAGCCTGGTGACGATGCGGCATAGGGAGGCTGGTAGCTAGGCCAGGGTTGTGCAGCTAAAGTTCTGCTTCACCAAGAGAATTCCAGAGTGAAGAAGTCCCAGACCCACATGGAGCATTTCAGGAACTACTATTTGTATGTTGTTATTTCAACACGGATGGATTTAAATGAATAGAAATCTATTACCCAGGGACCGAAACAAAGGCTTTATTAAAGAAATTCTGTGAGTGATGGCTTTAACAAATGGAAAAACATCCTGGTGTCTTTTCAGATGATCAGTTCCTTCTTCTGTCACATGTTAAATGATTGTGAGAGAACATGGGTGTGAGCAGGACTAGAGAAGAATGTATCACTGGTATATAAACAAAAATTAAAGATATTGTTAGTTGGCGGAGATAGTAAGTGAACCAAGGCTAGTAAGCTCTTTCCCCTTCAGCCTCCCAAAATGACTCGGGGAGGCAGCTTGCTAAGGGGGAGGAGAGAGGGAGAAGGTGGTGTGTTTTGTAGAGATGCCAGATGTGTTAAAACCTCACATAGAAAGAGACCAAAAACTACTTAGAAATGTGACTTTTTGGAGCATGTAGTGCATTTTATCTGGTGCTTTGCTGATGAAACTGACAGGAACCAGCTCTCTGACATGGAAAGAAGTATGGTGAAATATCTAGCTGTTATGAATGGATAAAGAAGATGTGCTGTCTATATTCAATGGAATATTACTCAGCCATCAAAAAAATGAAATCTTAACCATTTGCAACGATGTGGATGGAACTAGAGGATATTAGGCTAAGCAAAATAAGCCAGTCAGAGAAAGATATATGGTTTCACTCATATGTGGAATTTAAGAACCAAAACAGATGAACATAGGCAAAGGGAGGGGAAAAATAAAATAAGACAAAATCAGAGAGGAAGATAAACCGTGATCATAGGAAACAAACTGAGGGTTCCTGTAGGGGAGGTGGGGGAGGATGGGGTAACTAGGTGATGGGCATTAAGGAGGGCACGTGATGTAATGAGCACTGGGTGTTGCATGCAACTGATGAATCCCTGAATTCTACCTCTGAAACTAATAATACACTCTATGTTAATTGGTTTTAAATTTTAAAAAATATATATCTAGCTGTTTGGGAGCTTGCCAACCCTTTTGCATCCACACGGGATATTTAGTCGTCTAGTTTAACATACGCCTGTGAGTTTAGTGCAACTGCAGAATGGGAGCTTTTTGCCTGAAGGTGAGTCACTGCTCAACCAAGTGCAAACCAAACACTATTTTTGGACCTTTGATGACATTGTTTTAAGCCTCTTATTTTAGACAGAAAAAGGAAACCAAGTTGATAAAAAAAAATCTGTTATTGCCAAATCTTGTATAGGAAAATTTTTAAATACTTCAACAAAAATATTTAGTATTTGTGTTTCTTAGCCATAATTAAATCATCTTTCAATCAGTAAGGTTTTATTTAGCATGATAATACAGTACAGCAATGATCTCTATGGGGAGGGAATATTGGTAAAATCAGTTTGTTGTCACTTAAGTGGGGAGATATTTTTAATTTAAAAAATAGCGTAATAATATACAGGTTATTTTTTTTTTTTAAGATTTTATTTGTCAGAGAGAGAAAGAGCACAAGCACGGGGAGAGCGGCAGGCAGAGGGAGAAGCAGGCTCCCCGCTGAGCAGGGAGCCCAATGCGGGGCTCGATCCCAGGACCCTGGATCATGACCTGAGCCGAAGGCAGACGCTCAACCAACTGAGCCAACCAGGCGCCCCTATACAGATTATTTTTGAGTAAAAAGATTCACAGATTCACTACCCTCAAGGGACTGTTTCTTTTTTGGGCAGCCTTTCTGTCTCTGTGGGCACAGATACAGTTTTACATAGTTGCTCTTAGAGTACTTGTACCATTTTAAATTTTTTTTTTCAGGGGCGCCTGGGTGGCTCAGTCGTAAGCGTCTGCCTTCGGCTCAGGTCATGATCCTGGAGTCCTAGAATCGAGCCCTGCATCGGGCTCCCTGCTCAGCGGGAAGCCTGCTTCTCCCTCTCCCACTCCCCCTGCTTGTGTTCCCTCTCTCGCTGTGTCTCTCTCTGTCAAATAAATAAATAAATCTTAAATAAATAAATTTTTTTCAGCCAACATAATATCAAAAACATTCTTCCATGTTGCTATGTTGTCATTTTAAAGGCTACACAGTATTCCATTGTGTTGATGCGTTATCACTTACTGAATCTATTATTTGTCAAGTCTTATATCAATCCACAATGAGCATTTTTGTGCAATAGTTTTTTACTCCTGAATTCTTTTCTGACAATTGGAGAGTCAAAGTGAATGAACATCTTTACCAGTCTTTTTGTCTTGCCTTGTTGTTTTCCGAAAGAGTTGTACCAATTTACACCACAGTAGCTGTGAGGGAGTATGGTAACTGGGTTGCTTTTAATGATAGTGTCTTTTTTAGACCAAAAATGCTGTTGAGAAGTTTGCAAATGCCAAGAGAAATTTATTGCAAACCGAGAAAGATGCTGAGGAGTTAGAAAAGAGAGCCCAGGAAACTGCTGTTAACCTTGTCAAAGCCGACCAGCAGCTCAGGTAGGTGGAGTCCCTCAGCTACTCAGTAACATGAGGGAGGAGTTTGGTTCTAACAGGCTAATAAACGCCTTACGATAAATAATGCAGGTCGAATCTAAGGGGCCTTGGAGAATAAAGCGATGTGTTTTAGGTTGCTCCAGGCTGACACAAAGGATTTGGAGCAGCACAAAATGGAGCAAGAGGAAATCTTGAAAGAAATAAACGAAGTTGTAGCGGCAAAAGACTCAGACTTCCAGTGTCTAAACAAGAAGAAGGAGGTCCTGACGGGAGAGTAAGTACAGTGTGTCGGGCGTCAGGGGCTCGGGCTGGGCGACGGCGCTCGGGGTCCAGCCTCGCTTTGGCCCTGCTCTAGTGCTGCTGCTCTTCGCAGGCTGCAGCAACTGCAGAAGGACATCGAGACCGCACAGCACAGTGAGGGTTACCATCTGCAGGTCCTCAGAGAGTCAGAGAACCTCCTGCAGGCCAAGAAAGCTGAGCTGGAAAAGCTGAAAAGGCAGGTAGGGCAACAGCTCGTGCTGCTTTGAAACCTACATCATTTATAATCATAATGTATGATTACAAAAAGTAATGCATGTTCAAGTGTAGAAAAGACTGGAAAATACAAAAGAAGATCTAAAGCATAAATGTGCCTGTATCTCCTAGTGATTAAAAGTAGAGTCCAGGGGCGCCCGGGTGGCTCAGTCGTTAAGCGTCTGCCTTCGGCTCAGGTCATGATCCCAGGGTCCTGGGATCGAGCCCCGCATCGGGCTCCCTGCTCCGCGGGAAGCCTGCTTCTCCCTCTCCCACTCCCCCTGCTGGTGTTTCCTCTCTCGCTGTGTCTCTCTCTGTCAAATAAATAAATAAAAATCTTAAAAAAAAAAAAAAAAGAGTAGAGTCCGACCCAAATTTGAATCCTGACTCAATAGAATATGTTATTGAGTGAAAGAAGCAAGTCTCAAAACGGGATGCACCCTGAGATCACTTATGCTAAATGTGTTTATGAACACTTGTGCTGGTATATTTATATCAAAGTACAAAAGCAGTCATCTGATAAGGGGACATTATGAATATCTTCTGTTTTCTTCCTTTTGCATGTCTGCATTTTCTGTTTTTTTATATAAACAAGTGTGTACCATCCTTAAAATTGTTAGTAATTTTTAATTTTACAAAATGAATCAATTTTTTAAATCCCTGCCTGACTTCCATTGCCAAGGTAGTGGTTAAATGGAATAAGATATAGATATGTAAGTATTTTGAAAACCATAACCTGAGGCATAATCATCATTATCATATTGTTTTTGCTATGCTTTGAGTGCTTTTATACATAAAAGCACTCAGGAGCTCAGGATCTTTATCAGGCATTTTATGCCTGCACCCCCAGCCCGGTCCTCCTGACTCATGCAGCTGGGATAATTACACGTAGGCTAGTTCCTGATTGCCCCACTACCGTTAGCTGGACTGGGTGTTCTCCATCACAGCAAGCACTGAAAGTTGCATGGCCTTTGGCAAGCTTTGCATTCTTCCCTTTTCTTTAATGCAGGTGTCGGGTCAGCAGCAGGAGACGGCCGTCTTAGACAGGCAGTTAGGGCGTAAAAAGGAAGAACTGCATCTCCTCCAGGAAAGCATGGTCCAGGCCAAAGCTGACCTCCAGGAAGCGCTGAGACTGGGAGAAACCGAAGTAATTGAGAAGTGCAATCACATTCGGGTGCGTTTTTCACTAGGTTTTCTTAAAAGTCCTAGAAGGATGTTGATTTATTTTAATTGGTTTCCCCTCCAAATGCAAATATAAATTCCTGAATCTTGACCCCTCTGGAACATCAGTTTGCTGTGGTGTTACGTATCCAGGCTGTAGCTGCTTGGGTAGCTCTCCCATAGAGGTTCTCTGCCTCTATGCCTTTTCTCATACCATTTCTTCTCCAGGAATTTCCTTTCTGGGAATGTCCAGATCCTACCCATTTTTCATGGTTCAGCTTGATGCCTCCAAGACTTCCCTGACTTTTCCCTTACATTGGAAGGAGTTTCTCTCTCTCCTGAGTCTGAAGGCAGTCTGCACATTTCCTAGGGCATCATAGCCTTTCATAATCATGTTTATGCCCCTTGCCTAATTTCCCCCAAGGTGCTCAGCCTCTTAAAGGCAGGAGATGTATCAGAGTCAGCCTTTTCTTTCTATGACAAATTGCCTTGCATAGAGTACATACTGCTTATGCATTTTAAATGAAGGTAATGTGTGGCTTTCTTACTTCTATTATACAGAAATATGTTAGTATAAATTGTATACACTGCTGTTCTTGACATAAAAGGCAAAATTGAACTCGTTTCCAGATTAGAATTTTTGTGAAATGAGATAGTTAATAACAAAAGTGATTCCAGTGTAATTTCTATTCATAATTTTGTAAAGCAGAGTTGACTTTTTTTTTTCTTTTTTTTTTTTTTGGCGGGGGTGCACAGGAAGTAAAATCTCTTCTGGAAGAACTCAGTTTTCAGAAAGGAGAACTGAATGTCCAGATTAGTGAAAAAAAAACTCAACTCGCACTCATAAAGCAGGAAATTGAAAAAGAGGAAGAAAATCTTCAGGTAGTTTTAGGACAAATGTCTAAACATAAAACTGGTAAGTTTAAAGGAAAGGAATCATATAAAGTCAGAGTTTGGAAATATCTCTATTCCAGATCACAGAAAAAATACAAATGGTGGAATAAACTTCTTTTAAAGTTCAACTTTGTTATAGATGAGCAAAGAAAAGCAGTATTATAAAAGTATTTTATAATAAATATTTTAGTATTTTCTGCCATTCAAAGTGATAAAGTTTATTTAAGAGCATAATAGTCATAATAATTGCTGACGAGGGTGTGGAGAAGGAAGAACACTTAGCAGGCTATTTGATAGAAAAATAAATTGGACCAATCCCCCAGTGTTTCAAGTCTGAAAATTCACACCTATTGAACCATTTAGCCCATTTCTAATTACTGAGAGAAAGGAAGCATTCATATACATTTTAGCAATATTGTATTTATTTAGTAAGTAAGTCTTTATTTCCTTGTTTCACAAATTAAGCTGGCTAAGTTGGTTACTTGCAGCAAAATTTCTAATAGAATTTGGAAACTTGGCCAATTTAAAAGCCACATTTTAAACATTTAACGGCATGCAAAAGATGCTGATGGGAAGACTGAAAAAATAGATACAAAACTGAATATAGAGCATAGTCCCAATTTATTTTGAAAGTCTGTGCATGTGTGTGCGCACACGCACGTCTGCAGCACGCTCCTGGAAGGAAGTACATCAAAATGCTATTGCTGTAGTGATCATCTTTGGATGGTGGGATAATAATGGGTTTTCATTTTTTTCTTGAAATTTTCTATAGTGAGCAAATATTTGTATAATCAGAAAAGAGAGTTAATTCTTGAAAATCTGTATTTTAAAAGATAAAAAATTCTTATCTGAATCTCAGATTTTAACATCTTTCCTATTTATTTTGCTTAAAATCCATTTAGATGGAGTAATTGCTCTTAAAACTAGATCTTTGTTAATGTTTTTGTTCAAATGTTTTTAACAAATTAAAATTTAACAAGTTAATGTTTAGCAATATTTTAAAGGATTTTTTTTTTCATTAAAATAAAATTAGCTCCATGGTGCCTGGGTGGCTCAGTTGGTTAAGCCTCTGGCTTTGGCTCAGGTCATAGTCTCAGGGTCTTGGGATCGAGCCCTGCTTCGGACTCCCTGCTCAGTGGGGAGTCTGCTTCTCCCTCTGCTCCTACCCCTGTTTGTGTGCATGCTTCTCTCGCTCTCTCAGACAAATAAAATCTTTTTAAAAATACAATTAGCTCCATTAATTCAGCACAATAGATATGTTTTGATGACCTATTGTTTCTTGTATCAACAGCATTATTTTCTGTTTCATTCTGTAAATGTTTTCAACTACATTTAATAGCATGGATCGTGCTCTGTTTCTCTTAGAACTAAAGAATATTCTGGACATGTTGCAACTTGAAAACAATGAGCTGCAAGGTTTGAAGCTACAGCATGATCAAAAGGTGTCTGAATTAGAGAAGACTCAGGTTGAAGTGCTGGAGGTAATAAATGAAGCCGTTCTACCCTTAGCCAACTGCAGTCTTTCTCTTTGGGCACGTGTGAGTCCCCTTCTGTCTGATTTAGGAGAGACTGGAGTTAGAGAGCCTGCAGCAGACGGCCCTGCGACAGAGAGGGGAGATAGAGTGGCAGAAGCAGCTCCTCGAGAGGGACAAACGGGAAGTAGAGCAGATGACTGCTGAGACCCGAGCGTTACAGTCGTCTATTGAGTCTTTGTGCAAAGAAAAGAAAGATCTCGAAGGAAAACAGGACAGCTGGGAAAAGAAGTTGGCACAGACCAAACGGTGAGAGCAAAAACCAATAAGCTTACAAGATCCCTTCCTGAAGACTAAAGCATAATAATATACACAGTGGAAAAGGAGTAGAAAATAAAGAGAAGAAAACTACTCCACGGACTCAGTATCACAGAACAGCTCATCAGTAGCATTTCTGGGTGCATTTCCTTTAGGCTTTTCTTTTTCCAAAGCACTTTTTAAAATAACCTGTTGTGGATTTTTTTAGGTAAAATAACAAATGCTAGAAGATAGAGCTAAGTGGAGAGATACCTGTTTGTGGGTAGAAAGGCAATATTGTTAAGATTCAGTTCTCCTTAAATTGATCTGTAGATTCCGAACAATCCCAATCAAAATCCCAACAGGCTTTCCAAATAGAAATTGGCAATCAGGTTCTGAAATTCATGTGGAAATGCAAAAGATGGACATAGAATAGAATCTAAAACTTTTTATATGACACCAAAACAACCCTGAAAAAGAACAAAAGTTTAGGGCTAACACTACCTGATTTCAAAACTCAGTATACAGCTATGGTAATCAAAACACTGTGGTACTGGTATAAAGATAGGAAAATCAATCAGTGGAACAGAATAGAAAGTCCAAGAGTAAATGCACAAATGTGTGGACAACTGATTTTGACAAAGATGCAAAGGCATCTTTTTCAGTAGAGAAAAGACGGTCATTTCAAAAAATATTGCTGAAACGATTGCATATCCAAAACCCCAAAAGTTAACTTCAGCCCACACCCACACTATTAATAAAAATTACCTCAAAATGGACCATAAACAAAAAGGTAAAACCTAAATATTAAAACTTCTAGGAGAAAACATAGGAAAAAAACCTTTGTGACCTTGGGTTAGGCAGAATTTCCTAGATATGATACCCAAAGCATGGTCCATAAAAGAATAAATTGGTAAAATTGAACTTCATCAAAATTCAAAACTTCTCCTCAAGAGACACTGTTAAGATAATGAAAAGACATGTCACGACTGGGAGAAGAATCTTTGCAACCATGTATTTTCAGTAAAGGGCTTGTGCCCAGAGCAGATATATACAAAGAACTCTCATGACTCAATAATGAGAAAATAACGAACAACCCAGTTTTTCAAATGGGCAAAAGATTTGAGGAGACATTTCACTTAAGAAGATGAATGAATGGCAAATAAATACATAAAAAGGTGCTCCTCATCATTAACCATTAGGAAAATGCAAATTAAAACCACAATGAGGTAACACTACATACCTATTAGAAGGGCTAAAAATAAAGTCTGACGATACCAAATGTCGGCATGGAACTTTCATACACAATTGGTGGGAGTATAAAATGTTAGACTGCTTTGGAGAATAATTTGGCAGTTATTTAAAAACTCTCACACACATTGACCAGAAGAGCTAGCCATTCCACTCCAAGATATTTATTCATGAGAAGTGAAAGCATATGTTCATACAAAGAATGATGTTCTTTAATATTCATAGCAGTTTTATTTGAAACAGCCAAAACGTGGAAACAACCTAAATGTCCATCAGCTGGTGAATGGATAGACAAATGATAGTATATCCATACCATGGAACACTATTCATCAGTAAGAAGGGAATGCAGTATTGATACACACAACCACATGGATGAATCTCAGAGCAACTATGCTCAGTGAGAGAAGCCAGACAGAAACGAGCCCATACTATAGGACTCTGGTCATGTAAAAGAAAGCGGGCTCGTGCATGTCTGTTTTTTGGACAAATCCTATTACACAGTTGTGTTTCCTGCTTTCTCATTTATCAGAAGCTAGCCATCTATTTTAATTGCCAAATTTGGGGAATTCTGAGTGCTATCCATGTTTTTATCCCTGATTTTTATAAAACTTCACTTTATTGAGTCACTTCAAAAAATCTCCTGTTTGGAAAGCTGAAAATAAGATGTCTTTTGAAAATGAGTTGAAGAGCCTTAAGTTTTGTTAAGGTTTATAATCATTCATAGTCCATAACCATCCGGTGAAAGCAGAACACTGTTCCTCGGCTGTGTCTTGTGCATGCTTGGACGTTTCATGTTCGATGGTCTGACTTAACTCTGCTTGCGCGGTAGGGTTTTAGCAGCGGCAGAAGAGAATAGCAAAATGGAGCAAGCAAACTTGGAAAAGTTGGAATCAGATGTCAGAAAGCTGCAGCAGGAGCTAGATGGACTCAACAGAGAGAAGCTCTCACTGCAGGAAGACCTGAGAGCAGCTCAGCAGCAGCTGCAAGGTACGAGGCTGCCCCTTGGGGGGATGCGCCTTCCTTCGGGTAGGTTCTTCTTTCCTTTTCTTTCTACTGAATATACAACCTTTCCTCTTCCTTAAATTTGGAGTTAAATTATACAAAGATGAGAAGTCAGGTTTTGTGACCTAAAAATGTTTCCTTATTAAAACTATATTACTACTTTGGTAAACTATACAGAAAAGATAGGGAGACACACCTGTGTACTTAAGAGAGCTGCAGGTCAGTCATGCCAGATCCCTGGGGAGGGAATTCCCAGCACGCCCTCGCTCATCTGGGAGGACACAGAGCCGTCCGTGTTGAGGCGTACACATTCAGTCCAGCATGGTCAGCCCTCTGCTATGAATGTGCCTGTCCAGTTGTCTGCTGCTTAGAGCAGACATTTACCTTCTGCATCCCCCAGCCATCGGGGGAGGATGAGGGCTGTTCTTCTGGGAGGGTTTCCTGGTGGCTCTCTTCCATCAGCATCAGCATATCTGGAATCAGAGGAGTTTCCATAGCCTCTTCTCTTTTCACATCTTGCTGCAGCAGAGTCTTGGAAAACAAAATCAGAACTCAGCTATTCCTCAGAAGGAATCTCTTACCAAAGATCATCTCCATGGGGACTGACCCTGGCTGTCCAACACTTGTCCATTCGGGATGTAAACCATCTTTGCCCCTTGGTCTTGCCTCCCGGGTTCTTCTTTTAATTGTTTGCATTTCTTATTATAGAAATAATTCATGCTAATGGGCATGGGATTTATTTTAGAAGTGACAGAAATGTTCTAAAATTAGATTGTGGTGATGTTTGCATGACTCTGCGAATATACTTAAAGCCAGTGAATTGCATATTTTAAAATGGGTAAAATGCTTGGTATGTGAATTATATCTCAGTAATGCTGTTTAAAAAAAATTAGTTCATGTTCCTTAAAGAACAATTTAAAGAAAAGCGAAAAGATGAAATAAAAATTACTATTGACCTCACCCCTCAGAGGTAATTCCTATTAACAGTGTGGTGAATATTCTTCCAGATTTTTCCTTGGGATATGTGTGTGTGTGTGTGTGTGTGTGTGTGTGTGTGTGTGTGTAGTTTTAAAACAAAAAACAAAGATGCAGATAACACCTTCAGTACCAAAACTTTGTAAGCATCCATGATTAGAAATTACTAAATAATTCTAGCTAACAAGGTACTCGTACTTGTCGAGCACTTACTGTGTCTCAGACATGATGCAACTATTTTATATGCATTTCTTCATTTAATCCTTGTAACATTTTTATGATAGAAACTGTTTCACCCATTTACAGATGAGGAAGCTTAAGCTTAGTTTCCTTGTGACTTACTCAAGTGAGAAGTAACTTCCTCAAGGTCATACAGCTACTAAGTGACAAAGCGAGCACACATATAAAATCTCTTCCCAAATTGTCTCCCTTTAAGGTTGTACCAAATTTACTTTTCTCCCAGCAATGTAGAAGGTATTCATTTTTAAACCATGCACATCGTCAACACTAGGTATTATCTATACTTTTTTTTTTTTTATTGTGAGGTTTTGAACATGTAAATCTAAAAACCTGAGGTCCAAGCCCAGACATAGGTTGTGCGTGTTAACTCACTCTTTTGACCTTTTAATAAGTAAATGCATAGCCATACATTTAACAGAAATAAGTTTATATTCCCTTCCACTCTACTTTTTTGGGGGGCTGATGGGAATTTGGAAAATGCATACAAGTGTATTTATGTTATGTAAATATTATTTCTGTAGAAAAACGAGAAGCAATAAAGTCACTACAGAAGGAACTAGCTGATGTCCAAGACCATTTGAACCTAGCGAGACAGGTAAGTTTAACAAATGTAATCTTCTGGTAGTAACCTGAAGGCATGCAGACAATTGGTTAAAATAAAAAACAAATCAAGTAGGTTGGTTCCTTTTCATACCAGCAGGTCCCATAGGGCCATTTATAAGACATAAATATATATACACAAAACTTTTGGTGCAGAGCAGTGATTTTCTCATTTATGTTAGCCCTAGAACTCTTGATTCAAAGTTTTACTCGAAGATAATAAGTAAGGTGGTGGCTAGACCAGAGCCTAAACCCTCAGCCAGCCCCTCTGGGGGCTTTAGGCACCGGATGGACCATCTCTTATCCATGGCACAGACAAGGCCCCCACAGGCTGGGCTCAGATTTGGTCACTCATTGAGCGGCAGAGTAACTGCCAATTTCAGAGCAACCGGGCCTCCATCTTGTCAGATGTTCAGTAAAGCTGATTCTGGACCCTTAGACTTCGGATAGTCTTCTTAAAGACAATTGAGTGTTGTCCAATGAGAAGAGTGCTGTAATTTGAGTTTCAAAGAACCTCAAGCAAGTTCTGGGCCTCAGTTTCCACTATGTAAACTAGGGGTTAGATTAGACATCTGAATTCTTCCAAAAGGTCTTTAGGAATATGTGTTTCTAAGATGTATAAAACTTAAAATATTCCATCTTTAAAAAATTCTTACACGGGCTCTAATGAATATTTTCTGTGTTGTTAGAGTAACTTTTTCAAAAAGGTTTAATTTGGATTCCTTGTAGAAAGAAGAATTTATTATTTTCTGAGTTTTTCAACCTACATAAATATTTCAAATAGAAACAAAACCATGACTTTAGGTTCATTTTCAGTGAGAACTAGGCCTTACTCACAGCTCTCCTTAATCTTCTTAGCAGTCTTGTTTATTCCCACCTCAGTGACGGAGCAACTAAAGTTCAGAAGAACTGGGTCTCTTCTGTCATCTTGTTAGACACTAAAAAGAGGAAGGCTGATGATTAAATTGCGTTCCGGATGCCTTCAGTAAGTTTGTTGAGATAATAAAGGATGCAGGACTTGCACGTTTATTTTGTCAGACTTGCTGGATCTCAGGAAGGGCACTCACCAGCCCCAGAGCAGATGGCTTTGTTAGTAGTTTCCATGTGTTTTTTCACATAAAGGACGTGCTTCACACCACCAAGCATAAGGACGTGCTGCTTAGTGAACAGACCAGGCTCGAGAAGGACATCAGTGAATGGATGAAGAGGCTTGAAGACTGCCAGAAAGAAGGGGAGACAAAGCAGCAACACCTTCAAGCGCTTCAGAATGAGATTGAAGGAAACAAGACTAAGCTAGCCCAACAAGAAATGGTACTACACATTTATGATTTTACAGAAAAGGAAACACTTGTCACTCGGGTGAGCTTTTCCCAGCCAGAAGCTGCTCGGAAGGGTCCCCCATAACCGCCCTGTGTAACCGGGAGGATTTTATAGCAACGCTTTGACTCTGTCGGTGTTGATGTTTGCGGACCATTAAGACCACAGAACGTGGGTCCTGTAAAGAATCTCGCTGGCCCCGTGCCGCTGGCTGCGCGAATCCCCTCCTCACATGCTGGCCACGTAGCTTTCCAGGCCCAGCATGCTGACCTCTGTGAAGGGAACCCATTGTCTCGCACCGTGGGCTGTTTCCTACTTTCTCTGGAACTGGAACCCGGCTAGTGTCCACAAAGGTTCCCTCATCTGGGACACACTGTATCTGTTATTTGATGACTGTAGTTTTTCTCTCTTAAGATGTTTCAGAGACTGCAGAAAGAGCGAGAACATGAAGAAAAGACGTTAGAAGCCAGGAAAGTGGCTCTGATGGAGCAGCAGCAGCAGCTCGAAGGGGAGATAGGCGAGCAGAAAGGCAGGCTGGACCAGGTGCTCGCCAAGCTGTTGGCGGCGCAGGAGCGCGTCAGGACCTTGCAGGAAGAGGAGAGGTGGAGTGACACCCTGGAGAAAACGCTCTCCCAGACCAGTACGTGCTGCTGAACATGGCGCTGCTGGGGGAGGGGGGGCGGGGGGCGCTGGCTGTCTTGCCAGGTGTCTCCAGAGCCCGGCCACCACCCAGAAGGGGGTCGGGAGGCATGCGGCAGGGAGGGGATGCCCCGCTGGAACCTGCTAGCCCCGGGAGAGGTGACAACAGGCTCAGAGACACAGGGCATTTGTCTGTATAGAGAAGGGATTTGGTCCTGAGACTGTGAGGTCTTTTTACTTAACCATATTGCCTTCTTCGAGAATGCTGCCTCAGGAAGAGAGACATTAAGGCAAAGAAATTCCAGAAGGCACTCTAAAGGCCTTCTATGAAGTACACTATTTTGAGCTTTGGAAACGATCCATTTCATCTCACCCAGTCAAAAAACAATATTAACAATTCTACTTGTGTCCAAATTTGACATAGTGAATGGTGCCAAAATACAGGTATTTGCTTTTGGGTTTATTCACTCTCTCTTGAGCCATTATCAATGACATTGACATGGAAATCCAGGATAAATGATTGTTCCCACATCAATAAATGATTTCTTTTTTTCCTTTCTTAGGCTTCAGGGTTTAATAATGCTCAGAAAATGTTGTTCTCCCTCAGGTGAACTTGGTGAAACGGTTATTACTCCTTCCGCCCCCCCCAACTTTTGATACATCCAGACCAGCCATTTCATTTTGAAAATGAAACTTACCAGATGTGCTGAGTCTGACCACACCAGACATGTGAAAGTGAAATCTGGACAGGGTGTTATTCCTGAGAGTGTGGTTAGAAAAATCTATTTTAACTGTCACTGTTCTTTATAAATATTATTTATTGAGTACTAGCTGTGTACTATGAGTTTGCATACAAGATTCCCATTGAACACCAGGAAGTAGGCACCTCCTGTATAAAATAAGGCTCATGCCTGCTCCAGGTCCCGTGTTCTTTTCACCGCGCTGCCTCACGTGAAGGAAAAGTATGGATGCACCTCCCTTTATTAAAATCCAGGTTTATAAAAAGCATTTCAGCCATCTGTTCCATGTCTCCTGCACCTCAGGATTGCTGTTTATTCTCACTGGTCTCTGACACTCAAAGGGAAGACAATAGCTGTCTGTCACTTTGGAATCCGGCCCTCTAGGACCCAGTTTTGTCAGGAGGCACCTTCATTAGGGCCTTTTTCTGGGCCTCTGATGTGGGGGTGGGGACTTGGAAGACCCAGTGATGCCTAAGTGAGTGGCATGTCGTTAAGCAACCTGCCCCAGCCGGCCCAGGGCCTCTGGCTAAACTACTAAAAATGCTCATTTCAGAACGACAGCTTTCAGAACGGGAACATCAGTTATTGGAAAAGTCAGGTGAGCTGCAGGCTCTCCAGAAAGAGACAGACTCTATGAGGGCAGACTTTAGCCTCTTACGGAACCAGTTCTTGACAGAAAGAAAGAAAGCTGAGAAGCAAGTTGCTAGCCTGAAGGAAACACTAAAGATCCAGCGGAGCCAGCTGGAGAAGAACCTTCTGGTGAGTACCTGTTGCCCTGGCAGCTCATGAGGAAATAACGCATTTACATTTTTAAACTAAAACATTGCTTCAGTGTGGAGAAAACAAGTTACCTTGGCAGCCCAGTCCCTAACTCAGCTGTTGTTTTTGGTGTATTGATGATGTACAGTGTGATCTTGAAGCTGATGGTGGGTTTTGCCTGAGTCTGGGCTGTAGCCCTAGAGGAGCCCGGCTGGCTGGAGAGATGGTCACGTGCACAGACGGTGTCAGCACGAAGCAGGGAGCACTCTCAGCAAGGAGCCTCTGTTCACACCTCCACTGGCAGGGGCTGCAGCGGTTTGGGGGGAAGATGCCTTAACGTGTTTGCCCAGCTGTAGTCACTGCTCAGATTTTTCTCATCCTGCCCTTTTTAGTCAAATTAGCTTTAATTAATCATTATCCTAAAACCAAGGAGCTCAGTCTACCATGCTTTTATCCCTAAAATACATTTGGGATTAAAAATTTGGGGAGGGGATACTCTAAGTCCACAACAGTCTATGGTGGGTGGAGGCAGATGGGCAGTGGTAGAGACTGTCACAGGAATGGATTTTTCTAACACCCTCTGGAGGAATTATGTAGCCCTGTTGTGTGAATGGTGTGTGTTTCCCAGAGGGTGATACACTTACCACTAGTGATTGGCAACATGTGATTGTAAGGATAGCATGGAGGTGTCTAGGTTTTCATCCTCCCGGTAACTCTGAGGATGCATATTGTTGTTCCTGTTGCGGACCAGTAATGGAGGCTCAAGAAAGGAAAGTAACATATTATCAAAGGTAATGTTGCAAAGCTAGGATTCAGACTTTGGGCTAACAGACTCTGACCACATATGTACTCCAGCTCCACCACAGCCACTAAAGAAGGACGGTAGTGTTATCCCCATGTTACAGCTAGAGCCCCAATGGGAAATGGAGTTACAGAGCTAGTGAGTGTGTAAGCCAGCAGTGCACAGCCCCATGTGCCAGAGCCCAGTCATGTCCCTCCTCCTGCGCTAGGAGCAAAAGCAGGAGAACAGCTGCATGCAGAAGGAGATGGCAACGATCGAACAGGTGGCCCAGGACAACCATGAGCGGGCCAGGCGCCTAATGAAGGAGCTCAACCAGATGCAGCATGAGTACACGGAGCTCAAGAAACAGGTGCGTGCCCAGGAGCCCCCGATGGCCGCCCGGGGCAGAGAAGGCTCGAAAGGCATGCTCACTGCCTGCTGGGCTCAGACAGATTTTGTTTCTTAAATAGCTCTTTTCATAGGAGTATATCTTTGTGGAAACTGTGAAAGCTGATTATAAGAATGTCCTTTAAATCAAATCTGTTTTTCTAGTCTTAAAATTTAGAAATGCACCTCTAGGGCGCCTGGGTGGCTCAGTTGGTTAAGCGACTGCCTTCAGCTCAGGTCATGATCCTGGAGTCCCGGAATCGAGTCCTGCATCGGGCTCCCTGCTCAGCAGGGAGTCTGCTTCTCCCTCTGACCCTCCCCCCTCTCATGCTCTCTCTCTCATTCTCTCTCTCAAATAAATAAATAAAATCTTAAAAAAAAAAATAGAAATGCACCTCTACAAGAAAAAAGCATTTGTTTAAAATGTACTTTTAAAATCCCCTTAAGTTCAGCAAGCATCTTATGTTTTTAAAAGAAAAATGGCAGTTCTTCATGAAATTTTATCATGTCCCAAAGAACTGTGTTGAAATGTTAGATTTTATGCCAGAAACAAGTCTAGAAGACCCAAATCCCTAGGAAGGAAGAAATGACCCCAGGAGAAAGCTCTGATACCCTGTAATGTAACCAGGCTGAGAGCAGTTCACACTTAGACTGGGAGAGTCTAATCCTACATGGAAAGCTCCATAAGTACATGACACATTAAACAGTTCACTTCCAAGTAGGTGCCAAAACTTACCCACTGGTATTTGACTCTCACTCTTCAGATGACAAACCAAAAAGATCTGGAGAGAAGACAGATGGAAATCAGTGACGCGATGCGAACACTTAAATCTGAGGTGAAAGATGAAATCAGAACCAGCCTGAAGAATCTCAACCAGTTTCTTCCAGAACTACCAGCAGATCTGGAGGCTATTTTGGAAAGGAATGAAAATGTAGAAGGAGGGTTGGAAAGCTTGAAAGAGAACTTCCCATTCACCATGAGTGAGAGACCATCACCTTTTGAAGAAAAACTGAACTTTTCCCAGACTCACATAATGGTAAGGGTGTATCCTGCTGCTCTCCGGACTTGGTTAGAAGATAATTTGTTCCCACCTCCCCCGAGATCAGCTGGAAAAACAGACGTGGGACTGGGGGAGGGCATGAGGAGGGAAAGGCTAACAACGTTTGGGGACTCTGATGTTTCCCTCTCCCTCTGAAAAAGGATGAACACTGGCGTGGAGAAGCACTCCGAGAGAGACTGCGTCACCGTGAAGATCGACTCAAGGTTGCCCTTTAAAACAGTATAGTATGAGATGCTTGGCGTGTTGAGGACGGGGGGAGATTGCTTACCTCCACGTACTGCTGTCATTCCCTCTGTGACGGCATGAGCAGCTTTCTAGATTATGTGGCAGAAGCTCAGAGAAGTTGGCATCACACAGTAAGTGGCAGGGGTTAGCATTCAAACCATGAGTTCTGGAGTTAGGCCCCGTGTTCTGGGTAATGCTGCTTTGCCTCAGCTAAAACTGACAGAACCTAAGGACTTGGGACAGAAAATAGAGATACAGTGATAAACAAAAGGGGACTCATAGGCCAGTGGTTGGGAGAAAGACGGGGAATACTGGAAAAGTAGGCTTAGGTGTCAGACAGGAAGTTGTTTGGCTCAGAACACGTGGAGTCTCGAGGCCTGTGAGACATCCAGGGCCCATTTCTCCATAGGCAGCTTTCGAAGAGCCTAGGATTTAGCGATCAGCATTGACCTGAAGATTTGGGGGTTAAGAGTGGGGGGGGGGTTGGAAAATGAGAGGGCAGAATGTGTTTGGAGAAAGCCTCCATATACAGCACGAGCTGAGAGGGAGCCATGTGCCGTGTGGAGGGAGTGGAGGCCCTTGAAGGCCAGTAGCCTCCAGCCACATGTGGCTACTTAAATGTAAATGAGTTATAATTACATCAGGTTAACAATTCAGTTCCTCAGTTGCCACAGTTTTAGTGACTCAGTAGCCACCTGTGACTAGTGGCTGCTATATTGGACCGCACAGATACAGAATATTCCCATCATCACAGAAAAGTTCTGTTGGACAGAACTGCTGTAGACTTGGAGAGAATCCTTTCAAAGAAACAGCAAGGGGACAAGCTGGAAAGTAGCATGGGGTTGAGGAATGAATATATTGTGAGAGGCACCGAAGACAGCAAGTATAAACCAGTCTTCTGCTAAGTCTGGGCAGAGAAGGGAGAGACAGGGTCGTAATTTAATGGGGAGGCCAGGGATGCAGAAATCCAAAGCATTGTTAAGTGGAGAGGAGGCTGAGCAGGCGGCCCAGTTAATGACAGCACAGCATGGTACAAGTTCTACGCACAGAATAGCCATCAGTACCTCCTACACTGCCTTTTTTTTTAGGACAAGAGCATTTTTAGCAGCCATTCCTACTTTATGATAATCAGATTTGCCCATCAAGTGTTAAACATGAGGAAGCTACTAAGTGCATTTCTTCTGTGTAAAACCCGAAATTTTACTCTAATGTTTTCAGGCCCAGCTTCGACACTGCATGTCCAAGCAAGCAGAAGTGCTAATTAAGGGGAAGCGGCAGACAGAGGGCACGTTACACAGCTTGAGAAGACAAGTGGATGCTTTAGGGGAACTGGTCACCAGCACTTCTGGAGACTCCACATCGTCACCCGGCCTGTCTCAGACAGAGTTTTCCGTGGCCGAGGATGCTCAGCCTGGACCAAGCCAAGTAAGAGGAAGCTCTGTTGCAGACATGGAAAGTCCCTGAAAGCTTTCGGGTCCCTAATCTAGATAGAGGAGACTCAGAAGGCCACAAATGCCACCTTTAGGTCTCCAGAAAACTTGGCTTAAGACAGATTTGCTTTTTCAGAAATGGTCCCTGGGAAAACTGGAATGGGTTGGTTGGTAGACCTAGAAAGAGGACAAGGTGATGGCTTAGGGAGTGGCCAGAAATTGGAGACTAGATGACCTGTCAGGGACGTAGTGAATTCTCCTGATGTTCTGCACTGGTGGATTTCCTTGTTCTCTACTGTGTGTGTGAAGGGCATTTAGGCTGTGCAGCCAGTGTGAGCCTGGTTCAGCCTGTCCATCTCCCTGCGTCCCGGGGAAGGACAACTGGCTGTGCCTACTGTTGCTCCTCAGTACAAGTTTGAACCCAGACCTCTTACTTAGCCCAGGGTCTCTACAACCCGAGGTTCACAAAGGCTTTCTGTGTGCGACCTCGACAAGGTTAATGATCATTTAGGAGGAACATGAACTAGACTCATGGAATCGGTCAGTAGGGACCCAGAGATAGCTACCACTTTTGAGTGCCTACTGTGTGCGTGTACTAAGCACTTTACCGTATTATCTCATGTAGTCTTTGTATTGTAGGAGGTAGGAAGTATGCCTTTAATAGATGAAGAAATTGTGTAAAATGAAAAATGTCATAGCAAAAGATGAAACCAGGACTTTGGGGCTCATCTGTCACCACCACAGAGCAGTATATGGCTGAGCCACAAGGAACATTCAGAAACAGCTGCCTCTCTTGTAGGCACACAGCTCAGCAGCAGCAGAATATGATTGCCTTAAAACCTTCTATCGTGGGACCAAGTCAGGCACAGGCCAAAACTACCATGGGCCTCAGGGCAGGTCTTAAGAGAGTCAGAAGGCACCGAGTATTGGAAGGAAGGTGGGTTTAGAGCTAAGACAGCCTAGAGTAGTGGGTACATGGGGGTTTGGGTGCCAGGTTCAGTTATCAGCTCGGGGTGGCAGCCCAAAGAATTCAGGTGCTCCAGATGCAGGAGAGTAACAGAGGTGTTAGAGGTGCAATGGGTAGGGGGGGGAGATTGCTAGAGTTCTTTTGGAGTCTGGGGTCATAATCCAGATATATGGGATGAAAGCCTAAACTAGGTTGGAGTTAGGGGCTGGCTTCTGAGCTGTGTTTTCATCTTCCTTCTTTTCAGAGCTCCTTCCAAGTACTACAGTGTCCGTCACCATTACTAGACAGTGACCGACACTGACGCCATCCCTAATCCTGCTCGTGGGGTACATGTTACAGAGTTCTTTTAACTACCACTTTCAATTGGAACATGCTGAATTCTCGCTTATCCTACAGTCAAGTAACCCTTTAACTTTACTCTTGGATAATTTTGTACAGTGGTTCATCTCAAAATATTTTTCCAAAGAGGTAAATACCTATTTTACCTGTTTAGCCATCATGCTGTCCCCCTTAGTTCTGTTCACTGAACGCTTGTTTTTACTGTTGCAAGAATGCATCCTCTTTGTGTTCCTGCAGGAAAAGAACTGCTCAGCCAGATGAGGAAATCTCTGAGGAAACCCCTTCTCTACTACCTCCCTGCAGGACTGGAAGGCCACTCAGTTTCGCTCCAGATGCGGTGAACTCCAATGCTGCACCTCCGCTGTAGCTCAGCTCACTGTGCTGAATGCCGGGGTTTCTGTAAATCACATGTACATATGGGAAGAGTTGTATACAGTTTAAACCTGGATGGCTGGGAGGGTTGTTTTTTTACTTTTGAAATGTGTTGCCATAAAACCAGTGATTGTAATTGCAAATTTGAGGCTATAAATTGGTAAAATCTATAGCTACAAAGAAAAAAAAATGTACTCAAGCCCTTCATTTATAGTGTCAAATTTTATTTTTGAATTTTATTTAAAATCTCTATTTTCATATGAAAATAAAAGATAAAATAGTCTGTCATCTGACTTTACATTTCATAGATCTACAGTAAAGCCATCAAACATTTACCTTCGTTCCAAGAAAACGGCAATTTCCAAATGGCTCTCCATCTTTGGCCTGGAGATTGAAGTATGTTGTACCTGTCAATGAACCTATACCACATGGAAATAGCTTTTATAAAAACTACTACACTTGAGGTGCTTTTCCTCAACCAAAAATATTCTTTGGTGGAAAATTAGCAGAATCTGACCCGGTGGTAAATTCAAATTGTGTTCGACTTTTAAATCTTTGAGCTACTGTAATTAATGGCTCCGCTCCATGATCTACAAATACATTATTTCTCTAAAAACAAGAATAGCAACTACTGTCACAAAAGACCATGTGGCAATAGACTTCTCATGGGTAAGAGGAAGTATGAAACTACATGTTCTAGATTAGGTTTTAAAATACTCCCAAGGCCTGTTCTCTAGGCCCGTAGATAGCTTCTGAACCATAACCATAAAGAATGGTGCAGTGCAGTCATCCCTCTCCACCCACGGAGGTTTGCATTCCCAAGAAGTTGTTTGGCCAGACCTGGACCATTAATTAAGGTATGGGATAAACAGAATTACAGTAAAGGCAATGGAAGTGGTAGAACACAGCAAATTCTAGAAAACATCTACTTCCAAAATAAAAATTGGTTTGTTGTGTATCTTTTGTACTTAACATTCTCCTTTCATTTTCACAGGCCTTAGCAAAATGCTGAAAAGTCAGGCCTCTGCACAATTACTGAAATCACTCAGGGACACTTTTTCCCACCCATTCTGTCCCTGTGCTGACTGAGGGTAAAATATCTTCTTTCTAAACTGCCACATGAACCCTCTCTATTCCCGTGGACAGGAATGGAAGGTAATCATTCGGCGTAAGGGGGAGTGACTTGAACCAGACATCTATACAGAAAGATAACACCTGAAACAATGGATATGTGAGCAAAAAAGTTCTCTAAAAAAACAAAAAACAACTATAGTCTGGAATTAGGGGAGGTAACTAATATGTGAAGCCAAACACCTGGTTCCAAAAAAGACATCTTTCCAAAGAAACTTTTACTACCTCTAGTATTATGTGAACATCACCACCAAAAAAAATTTTTTTAATCAAGGTTACTGCATCAAACACTTTATTATCCATGAAAAACACTTGAACATTGCACTGGAATATCTAACCCATAAAGAGTACTGAGCACCAATTTACTAATCAAGAGGGCCTCCTCAGAGGTGCAAGGTTAACAAGTAACCCAGAGAAGCAGGTGGCCCCACAAGTAGTAGTAAACTCTCATGGATTAAAGATTAATAAAAGAACTTCACATTCTCTCCAAAGTGTACTTGCCCAGTGTCTGGCACAGGTATGTTACAATATGACAACTTGCTATTTTTGAGCACCCAAGTTTATTACAGGGGATTACACATGCAAACAACAGAATTTGGCCCCAAGTACAGTCAAGGGAGAACATTATCAGGCACCAAGTGTGCTGATCTCACACTGAAAAAGGTCTACTGAAAACACTGCAAGTGTGATCCAAACACAAGGACAAAACTAAGTCAATTACTGAGTGATGTGGAGGTATATGCTATATACGTAGACTTCTCTTTATACAATAAGGACAATTCTCCAATAAAAACTGACAACTTCTGCCAAATAATTGTTTGCCTGAAGAAAATATGAAATCCTATTGTAGTTCAGAAAATAATGCAAACCATTTTAATTTAATCTAGATACAGGTACTTTATTTACAAATATTTAGATTAATAGCATTTCGTTACATCAAATGAAGAGTACAGCAGTCTGAATAAATCCTGTCACAAAAACAATTAAGACCCACTGTAACTAACTTTGGGAATCGGGGTATTGCACCTAAACAAGCCGCAGTTTTTAGTCTGTGATTGCTACCTTATATCCCAATGGGTGGTTGGTTTTTTGTAAATATATACACACACCAGCAGGTCATGGTCCCTGGGTGAGTCCCTTGTGAAGCAACAGGGTAAGCAAAATGGGTCACTGAAAGTCTTTAACAGAATATACCAATCTACTCCAAGAATCTTCTTTTTAAAAAAAAGTTAAAGACAAAAATAAAGATGAGTCCACAAATTAACCAAATCCTATTTTCTGCACATTCCAGTTTTGGCTTTTATTTAACATTGACTATACAATACTCCAGTACTACCACATGTTTACAACCCAGAAAGCCGTATTTTTTATTTTTACTTTAGTGTCTGTAAAGAGGGATTTAAAATGTGTATTTTAAACACAGCAGTTGAGCTGAGTGATTTTATAGAATATACTAAGGTTTACCTATCCTACTTCAAATAACCTCAGTTCTCCATCTGAACCAGGAACTCAATCAGAAATCAATCAAAAGAAGTGAAGAACTTGGTAAAACATAAGTCTGTTGTCTAAAGAGATTGTTTCCCTTGCAATACAGTATTCTTTCAGTGGCCAAACCACCTAGTGCAAAGTAATAACTTACTTTGTATCAGCACAAACACTGAAACACCTCAGAAACACTTTCCCTTTTACAAAACAACTTATGCCAACATGACATAAAATAGCCCCTCATACTACAAACACATGGGATATCTTACATTACTTCACTGTAGTGTTAAAAATGCACAATTTAAAATCCCTTAACAGCAGACCTGCGGTTCTGACTGTCCGGTACACAATCTCACCATTCCAAGAAGATAAAGGTATAAAAGCTTAAAATGTGCAATAATAAACCCAGCCTTTTTTCTTTTTCTATACAGTAAGGCAAGAAATGCAGCCTGTAATGCAAAAATGTTTACAAAGAGAAAAGCAGGTTAGCACATTGTCGATTGCACAAGAACAGTTAAGAAAATCAGCAGGTAAGAAGCCACAGTGCAAAGATGGAACAGCATCTGCTAGTGTCAATCCTCTCACGCTAGGAGCTCTTTCCAGCATAATGTCCCCAAACACTGCCAGCACCAGAGGCTGGAGCCAGTATTACTTGTGAACTGCAGTTGTGTCTATTTCCTTGTGTGAAATGCAAGGGAGTAACATGGTCACATATAGGTCATACTGTACAAACTGGTATTTTATACTGTTCCAATGCCAGTAATCAATTTATTTTCTTCATTAAAATAATATACACAGAATGTATTGTTAGTTCGGTTCCTTCAAATTTTATACATATTTACTTTCTGCTAAAGAGAAAAGGATAAAATGGTGTAAAAAAAAGAAAGATAAAGCTATTAATTAAGCACAACAGAAAAGTGGATATTTTCCCTGTGCAAGGCTAAGACAGAAGCAAACCTCCACAAGAAAAATGCCACCCACACAACAGGAAATTTATCCAACGAAAACAAAACAAAAGCAGTTACAGAACCCATTCTCTATCAGAAGTCATTTCACAGCAATAAACTTAATGGTTACAACAGACATACTTGAACAGTTAAAGATGGGGAGAAAGGCTTAAGATATCCTCAAATTAAACCATACAGTAAGACAAAGCCTTGCCAAAAAGAGGGAAGGATAAAAATCATTTAAGTCCAGCATCAGTGCTCAGTTTAAATCATGTACTGGTGACATACCTATCACGAGGACAATCAAGGGGGAAAAAAAGTCTAGATTTACCATGCAGGAGAGATTTATTACTCTACTTGCCTTTTGATAACCTGATTACATCTAGTTGTTTAGCAGTTTAGTATTTTGTTAAACTGTTTTTACAACAGAGTTGTTTTCTCTTTTTTTTTTTTTAATTAAACCCAGTAAGATGTACAGAAGACAATGAGGCAGTAAAAAGTACTGCTTCCAACAGACAGAGGTGAAAGGTCAAATGGGAGCTACGGCAAAGAGGTCACTAGCAGCCACAGCCTTCTCTCTGGGGTTGGGGTTCGCTGGTTAGCCGGCCTCCCTGTGGAGCTGAAGGTTTGTGTTGTACACCAGACTCGGCAGCATTCAGATCCAGGCTTCCATCCTGAATGTTCTGATAGATTTTCTTGGCAGCCTCAAGGAAAGCATCTTCTACATTCTCTCCCCTAAGAGGCAAATGACAAGTTTATTGGAGAATCACAGCTTTCTACAAAAGATAAGACATTACACACTGACCTTTTGCTAACCTTTAGTCAATTGCCATGATGCTTTCAACTTAGCCACTGTCATCTAGTAAGTGATTACCAGTAATGACTGAACTAAGAGAACAACTTGGGGAAATATTCTCTGTGGAAAGCATATAAACACGGTAGTAACAGCTGTTTCTACAAACCCTATTTGGATAACTGGATGTGCTCTATTCATTAAAATGTTATATATTAATATATAATGAAAGTGAAGATATTACAAAAATGGCCTATCTTCACTTAAGAAGAAGATATTCTAAACAGAAGTGAGATTCCAGGATTTGTACGATCCGATTAGCCAATCATCAACTATACTTTTTTTCATGTGATGGTGACATATTCGTGCTCGACCATGTTCTCACTTCAGTTCTCTTAGTACTATGGATGAAGCTAAAAAAAAGGGGGGGGGCTAGCTTCTCACCACAGCAAGGAATATCTGGCTTAATAAATGAAGAACTCTGATGGGAGTCCTGGGGGGGTTCAATAATGGACATGGAATAACGATTAAAAAACATTAATTATGCTTCTGATTATTCTTAGACATTGTTTCCTTAAGCCATGCTTTTTTATCAGAAGTATTAAATGAACAGATTACCCAAGCTTGAGTCCAAGATACCAAACTCAACCTCAATTGGGAAAGTCAAACACTTTTGAAATGCTAACACAATTTCATTTATTAACCTGGGTTACCAGGGGGCATAATCAAAGTACAATCTTTTAGGTGCAGTAACAAAAAAAATTACCTTTGAAATGTGAAACAGGAAGCAAAGGGATGATCTGTTTACTGTTCTTCCCACAATAAACATTACACATATACATATTATTATATGTATGCAAATACATTATACATTTCTCACATGTATGGTTCTACTTTGAGAAGTCTGAATGTAACTGAAAATGATGAATTTTAGC